ATGCCTTCCCCAGCGCCTTCGGAGAGCTGTATGCGCAGAGCACCGGGGCCTTCCGCGACCTGTACTCGGAGCTGCGCCTCTACTACCGCGGCGCCAACCTGCACCTGCAGGAGGCACTGGCTGAGTTCTGGGCACACCTGCTGGAGCACCTGTTCAAGCAGCTGCACCCGCAGCTGCTGCTGCCCGACGACTACCTGGACTGCCTGGGCAAGCAGGCCGAGGCGCTGCGGCCCTTCGGGGAGGCCCCACGCGAGCTGCGCCTACGCGCCACGCGCGCCTTTGTGGCAGCACGCTCCTTCGTGCAGGGCTTGGGCGTGGCCAGCGATGTAGTCCGGAAGGTCGTCCAGGTGTGCAGAACTGCTCGGGGCTCCCGGAAGCATGCGGGCCCCTGGGCTGCCGCCCTAGGCCTGGGCATGTGCTCTGCTGTGAGCAGGCGTAGCCCCAGGTGGCCTCCTCTCCTGTTCAGTCCTGTCCCCGACCAGCCTAGGTCCCAGGCAGGAAGTGGGGGGAGAGGGGCGTGGGGATGGGCACGGAGCCAACCGCACGGTAGGGGCAAGAGGCGAGTGGGGCCTGTGCCCGGAGGCCGGAGAGGCTAAGGCCCGAGGCCAGGGCCATGCAGGTGGGCAGGGTGCCCCCCCACAGGGCAGGCGTGTCAGACCCACTCGGCCTCAGACAGGCACAGGTGTGAGCCCCCTCCTGCCAGCTGGGGCTCCCGACTGGTCACCCCCACCCCTGCACCTCGTCCCGCATCTGCATGCCAGGTGGGCATGCTCACCCCCGCCCCGAGGGCCAGTGACAGCCGTGTTCCAGGAGTCGCGGCACTGGATGTGACTGTCAGGACAACTGCCTCCACGGCCACCAGGCCGCTTGGTCATCTGAGAAGAGAGCCCGAGGAGGGCCTGGGCCAGGCCGGGTCCCGCTGGGGCCTCCTGCCCCCCACGCAGACTCCCCGCCCCAGGCTCCTTGGTGCCGGGCTCAGGCTGCCTTGCTCTGCAGGTGCCCCTGGGTCCGGAATGTTCGAGAGCTGTCATGAAGCTGGTGTACTGTGCACACTGCCTGGGAGTCCCTGGCGCCCGGCCCTGCCCGGACTACTGCCGCAATGTGCTCAAGGGCTGCCTGGCCAACCAGGCCGACCTGGACGCCGAGTGGAGAAACCTCTTGGGTGAGCCCTCACTGCCGCTGCACACCAGAGGGGCCCAGGGCCTGCAGGAGTGGCTTGAAGCTGGGCCTGTCCTCCGCGCCTGGCCGGGGCCCTGGGAGGTGGGCGGCCCCCAGGGTCGAGGGACAAGGGTTCCTTCTGAGCGTCCAGACTGGAGTGTGGCTCAGACGGCTGCCTGGGAGGCCTTCTGGGTCTTGGTCCTTGTCTTTTCCCGTTCAGCAAGTACCCCAACACTCACATGACATGCTCGTGGGCCAGCATGTGGGCCAGCACACATGCATGCCAGAACACGTGATGTGTACATGCGATGGCCTAAAGTGAGCCAGCATAAACGTGACTGACGTATGTGCCTTCCAGAACACACACGAGCCTGTGTATACGTGGGCAGGCCCGAAGCAAGCCGATGTGTGTGTCAACTCACGACGCATGCACGAACTGCCATGTGGCACACCCACGTGCATGTGTCCCTCATGTCTTGTGCATGTGCTCACACCTGTGCCAGACTCCATGGTGCTCATCACCGACAAGTTCTGGGGCCCGCTGGGTGCAGAGAACGTCATCGGCAATGTGCATTTGTGGCTGGCAGAGGCCATCAACACCCTCCAGGACAACAAGGACACGCTCACGGCCAAGGTACAGGCAGGCGGGCACGGTGGGCGTGGGACAGGCATCCCAGAATGGGCTTCGTGCCCTCCAGGACCCTTGTGGTCTCCTCCCAGGTCATCCAGGGCTGCGGGAACCCCAAAGTGAACCCTCAGGCCCCCGGACCCGAGGAGAATCGGCACCAGGGCAAGCTAGCTCTGCAGGAGAAGCCACCCACAGGCATGCTGGAAAAGCTGGTGAGTGGCCCCCAGCTGCCACACCCTGGGTGGGCAAGGGGCGGGGAGGGCAGAATGGGCGGGGCCATCCAGTGGCCTGACCGCTGCCCCGCAGGTCTCCGAGGCCAAGGCCCAGCTGCGTGATGCCCAGGACTTCTGGATCAGCCTCCCGGGGACACTGTGCAGCGAGAAGATGGCCATGAGTACTGCTGGTGATGACCGCTGCTGGAACGGGATGGCCAAGGGCCGGTAGGTGCACCGGGCTGACCGCACGGCACTCCTCCTGCGGGGCCTCAGCTGGGCCCTCTTCTGGCCCACAGCCGTTCTGGACATAGGACACACACACAGCAGGACACGCAGCCTGGACCAGCCGAATCCTCACCACGTGCCAGCTCCCCGCAGCACGCACCAGGCAGGCTCGGGGCGAGTGCCCCCTGCTGCTGTGGGGCTGCACAGGCTCCGCTGGCCCCAAAGGGCCTGTGCTGCCCAGGTGGGAGGAGAGGAGCAGAAGGGCATGCTGGGGTGAAGAGTCCTGGCAGGAACCAGGGCAGTGACCCAGGCCTACCTTCTGGCGCCAGGTACCTTCCCGAGGTGATGGGTGACGGCCTGGCTAACCAGATCAACAACCCCGAGGTGGAGGTGGACATCACCAAGCCCGACATGGCCGCCCGCCAGCAGATCATGCGGCTGAAGGTCATGACCAACCGGCTGCGTGGCGCCTACGGCGGCGATGACGTGGACTTCCAGGACGCCAGTGAGGGCCGGGCTCCTGGGGCCGAGAGTCATGGGTCAGCCGGGTGCCACAGAGCGCTGCCAGCTGGGGGAGTGTGCGGGGAGGGGGCCCTCCCAGACCCCGTGTCCCGGCAGTGGGCTCCAGGACTCTGCCGCCTGGGCGTGGACGCTGAGTGCCCCCAGTCGTGTGCCCACCACAGTGGGACCTTGGCAGACCCAGGGGGCGGCAGCGCCCCAGGATTCAGGCTGCTGTGTTCAGGGTGGAGCTGGCATCCCTCGGCATGGGGGCTGACGGGGCGGGGGGCATGCTTGCACGCGGGGCCTGCAGGGCGGGCTGGTCTGCTGGAGCCTCCTGTCCCCCCCAGGTGATGACAGCAGTGGCTCAGGCAGTGGAGACGGCTGCCCAGACGACGTCTGTGGCCGAAGGGTCAGCAAGAAGGGCTCCAGCTCACGGACACCGCTGACCCATGCCCTCCCTGGCCTGTCGGAACGGGAGGGCCAGGACGCCTCAGCCGCAGGCCGCCCCCAGGCCCGCCCGCGCCTCGTGCTCCTCCTCGCCCTGGTCCTCCCAGCAGCCGGGCCGCGGTGGCGGTGACTGCCCCCGGCCCCAGGGACAGAGCCAAGGACTGACTTTGCCAAAATGCAAAACAGATGATATTTAATTCCTCTCGGCCTCGAGGCCCCCGGGCGGTCAGGGAGGGACAGCAAGGGGCCGCGGCTCTGTGACCGCTGGGGTGGGCAGGTGGCGCTGGCCTCCCAGGCCTGACTCTGCCAGCCACCCTGGCTTTTAATTTTGTACGAGGCCCTCAGGTCAGCTGGGAACAATGTCCCCAAAAAGCCATGTATTTCAGGGACCTCGGGACACCAGTGGCGCCCTCCTGCCTGCCCGCCGCCTCTCCCCCCAGCCCCTGCCCGTAGTAGAAGCGAGGCGGCGGCTCTGAGCAGTGCCCCGCTGGAGGGTGTGAGCCAGCTGTGCCTTCCTCCCCTGCCTCCTGCTGCTGAGAACTCGGGGCTCCAGGTGTCAGAAGTCAAGGCTCACCTCTCAGCACCCCAGGAATCCCAGGGAGGGCATCGGGTTCTAGCCGGGCCTCTGAGATTATGCATGAACCCTACAGCCTCAGCCAGGCCCCGGTGACACTGTGGCCCCCAGGGTCAGGGTGAGTTCCTGTCTGGCAAGGTTGGTCTTGAGGAGGCTCCTTTCTGATGAGTCCACCTAGACTTCCATCTTTGACAAAGGCCAGGTGTCCGTGGCTCACCACGTCCGGCTTTATGGGGAGCTGGGGGCAGGTTTGGCCTGTGCAGATGTGGGCACCTCTTCAGATGGCCTCACTACATTAGGCCCTGCAGGCCCACGCCAGCACAAGACGTCCCGCTATGCAGAGCGGCTGCCCCATCCTGCCCCCAGGCCTCCCTGTCCCACGCCAGGTCCCAGCTCAGGGTGATGCAGGCCTGGAATGGAGGCAGTGCAAGACCTGGCACTGCAGACGAGAGGGATGCCTGGGTCCCTTCCCTGCCCCCACCAGCTGCAAGAGGCCTGGGGGAGCTCTGACAGGTAAGGGCTTTTCCAGACACGCAGACATTTGCAGACCAAGAGCAGCTTCCACAGCTCCTCCAGATAGCTCTGGAGGACCCAGGTGACCTGTGCCGGGATCTAGACGCACGCTGGCAGTGGGGCTGTTGAGGCCCCTTTCCCCCTGGGCCCCAGCTGCTGCAGCCACCATGGCCAGGGACCGCAGTCTGAGCCAGCACCAGAGGCCACTTAGCGCTGCTTCGCTTCCCCTCACCAGGGTGGGAGGCCTCTGGCCACCAGTCAGGCCGCAGGCACAGTCCACCAATGCACTGAGTGTAGGGCCACAGGGCAGCCCCATCCCACAGGCACGCCTACCCTGTAATAACCCTGTAGTGCTGGGGCTGGGGGCTGGACTGAGGGCAACTGGACTCTTGGGGCTCAGAGCCGGTGACAGCCCTGGTGCCACACTCGGACAGCCCACAGGGGCCTGCGCACTGGCCTGCCCGTCATGCGTCTCTGGAGAGGGTGCCCTGCCGTCACAGGCCAAGTGGCAGCCAGGCCTGCTGTGCCCATCTGCTGCCCAGTATCAGCTGGCAATGTATGCTCTTGAGTTCTTGTATGAATAAAAGGCTGGAGACCTGGTGGCCTCTGTGACCCTGCCCCACATGGCCCTGAAGGAGTGCCCGCAGGCCGTGCACACTGGGTGTGACTTAGGGCCTATGAGGACGGCAGCAGATCACAGCCAACAGAGTGGCCCTGAGGCTGCTGGGCACACCCTGGACACACATGCCCGTAGAAGCTTCCAGTTCTGCCAAGTAGCCTCAGAGGTGCCCAGTCCCCCAGCCTGGGGACCAGAGCTCTGAAGCTGAGCCTGGCAGACTGTCCGATATCCAGCTGTCCCCAGCATGACACCCCCCCCATCACCGGCCAGAGCAGGGACCCCCACCCTGTTTCCTGCCTCCCCAAGAGCCCTGCACAGTCCCTGGGACAAAGCTGCCAGCCCCCTTCTCACCCAAAGGGTGGGCCCTGCTCCGCTGCTTGGGCACCAGCCTTGCAAGCATGACAACACCATCTCCTTGGCTGGAAGCTAGAGGCCAGTGCAGAGGCGGCAGCCACTGGAGGGCCACTTTATTGGGTGCTCAGCCCATGCTGGTCTACCACATGAATATTCAAAGCGTCTCCGGGGGGCCTGGAGAGCTTGAGAGCCCAGCCACTGGGCCCCAGGACCAAGGAGCAAGCCCCTCGGCACAGTGGGCTGGGCAGTGCACGTGGAGGGAGAACGTGGCTCCATGGGGGTGGCTGCAGCTCCCTATGCACCCCTGGGCCTGCCCCGCAGAGCACCACCTCAGGATCCCCCTCCCACCCCCTCGAGGCCCAGGGTGGTGGCCCCACTCCTCCCAGCTGGGGTGGGGTGAAGGCATTCCCTGGCAGGCTGGGAGATGGCCTTAGGAGGCTGCAGAGCCCCGTGAAGTCACGTGGGCAGCTGGCGGCTCACTCCTGCTTGTAGGTGGAATGGAAGCATTTTGACGGGTGTGGCCCCTTGTGAATCTCAGGCTTCCGGCTCGCCGCCCTGCCCAGAGGCTGCAAGGGCTTCCTGGAGTTCTCTGTGAACAGAGCCCAGTACATTTTCCCTGTTGGGGAAAGGAGGGCACAGGTGAGGTGGGCATCAAGCACAGGACAGCCAGTGGGCCCCAAGCCCTGCCCGCCCCAGGACAGGAGCTGGTCAGGGAGAGGCCCCTCCCTGGCTTTTGGCCTCTGCACCCTCCTCACAGGAATCCAGGAAGCTCAGACTTCCTGACCGACCCACACAGGGCCTGGGCAGGCCAGCACGGGTGTCCACAGTGAGGCACGTGTACATGTGCATTGTACATTCAAGATGCCTGTGTGCACGCACACGCACACAGGTGACACGAAGCATTTCTTCCCCTGGAGAAAACCTGTTTAGAAATTATGTTTTTAATCTGATATGAGGTCCACTTCAGGATGGACAGCTGCCCCAACTCTAAATCCCCAAGGAATGGTGGGAGGGTCAGAACCCAGGGTCCATGTCCTTGGAAACTGGAGACAGCAAGGACATGTCAGAGCCATCACAGGTGGGGCAGAGTCTAGGGGAGGTGGTGCAGTACAGGTGGGTCCCAGGAGACCCCAGCAGGCACCCCGTGCAGCAGGAAGCCTCCCAGATGTGGCCCCTGACCCTGCAATGCCGCCTTGGTGCATCTGAGCCTCCCACCCTACTCATGTGGCCTGCAGATACAAACAGGAGCCTCCACGGGCTCCAGCATAAACCCATTTCTAGGCCCCACCTAGAAAAGCAGTGAACAAGCTGGGGAGAAACGCATGGGGCATCTCAAAATATGCGTCAGCACTGGCCCTGGGGAAGCAGGATGACCTTCCTGATGGGACAGCACAAGGGAGCAGGAGACACTGGGAAGTGTCTGCTTTTAAGGGGTTCTGGCAACACAGGACGCTGCAGAAATGACCACCTTCCCGGCAGATCCGTTGAAATGTTGGATGAAATCAAAGCATGTCACAAAGTCAGCAGTGATCTGAGGTCCCAGGAGTGCTAAGCCCCACGCACTAAAAACCCCGGGGGGGCCACAGAGGGCAGGGTTGCAGATGCAGTAATTTCCCTGGGGTGCTCTGGATGCCCTGGAAGGGACACCACTGCCCTGCTGGCCATGGGAGGCCCAGGAAGCCTTGCTGCCAGGGCTCCGTGCAGGAAGCGTCACCCTGAGCATCGGCGCCCCAGGTCCTTGCTGACAATGGACAGAGCAGACATGAAGGCACCCCGCGAGGCAGAATGAGACTCCCTTGAGGGGGAAGAATGAGTCCCCACCCCCCAGGGCCAGCTCCAGGGCGCATGAGTGACCAGCCCGAGCGGGAAGGCCGTCCGTGAGCCATGCGGCATGAACAGGAACACAGAGAGGTGGGAGCCTAATGCAGCTGAGCACCCCCTACCCCCACCAGGAGCCCCGGGTCTGCAGCAGGGGGCAGGGGGCAAAGGCGACCGGCAGCAGGTGTGGGACCCCGCGAGGCCCCTGGAGTCCACATCGTTCGGCCCCACCAGGCCGCGCTCTGGGAAAGGCGAACGGGTGGAGCAGGGCAGGTGGGCAGTGGGCGGCTGCCAGGGCGTGGGGAGAAGAGCCCATGGAACGAATGGAGCCAGGCCGCTGGTGGCCCCGTGGCACTGACAGAGCAGGGCCCCTCCTCCATGCTACCAACAGAAAAATACATTTTGAATGGAAAAGGGGCCAAGAGGTGGAAAGAAACTCTTCAAAGCGGAGCACACATCCTAAGGAGCAGCAGGCCGTCCCAGGGACACAGCACAAGGGCCGCGCCGCACGTGGACACACAGACCAGCAAGAGGGAGAGGCGCCGTGGGGCGGGTGGGAAGCCCCCGATGGGCGAGGACAGGAGCCAAGGCCACAGCCAGAAGCACGCGGGGACCCCCACCTGGCCGGAGGTAGGAGAGCGCAGCCCCGCACCCGTCCTGGGGAGATGCAGGCCCCCTGGCCGGGCTGAGGGCAGTCGTGCTGGGCGTCTGCAAACCAGGCATCCGAAGAGCGCACCTCGGTGTGGACACCTGTGGGCGTGTGTGGACACCTGTCCCACCAGAGCGGTGGCAGCTCTGGGGCTCTTCTTAGAGTTTTGTTGATTTCTGAAATTTTTCAATGTTGTGCCAGGTCGGATCCAGGTTTGTGTCAGGCCTTCAGGCTTTGTAGGGCGGGGATGTTCACTTACACACACGCGTCCACAACCAAAACCCAGCGGGGAGCCTTGGCCCGAGCCGGGAGCCGGAGCAAGAGTAGCAGGGGCAGGGGCCTGGCTCCCAGGCTCTGAGGGCGGCGTGGGCTGCCCCCTGGGTGGGAGGGAAGCCCGCAGCCCCTGGCCCTGAGTCCTGTGTCCTTCCTGGGACCCATCCTGGCCTCCCCCACCAACCGTCTCTCAGACACCAAACACCAGCTTCCTGATGGAACCCGGACACCAGAAAATTCCAGACCCTTTTTTATCCATCACCCGCATTCCAGGCCTCCTGCCCGGCCTTGGCCTCCAGCTCTGTGACACCCCTCACGCAGCCTCCTGGGCGTCTCCTCCTGAGGCTCCCCAGCCTTGCCTGACCACCCCTCAGGACACCACCCGCTGCCCACTCTCCCGAGAGCCCAGGTACGAGGCAGCTGGGGGTGTGGCCACCAGACTGGCCCCTCCACCTCCTGGGCAGGGCCTCCCACCGCCACTGCCCCTGCCCCTTGGGCACAGGGGACATGGGCTCCCCGTCAGATGCATCCTTGTTGCCCAGCTGCCACTGGCCCCCTGCTCTAAGTGGGGCCCTCCAGCTCCTCTGCACCCCTTGTCCCTGCTCCACCAGAGTGCAGCCACCATTGGGCCCTGTCCTGCCCTCTGGCCTCTCTGCCAGGGCCCACCACTCACACCCACTCCCGGGCCGCTTCTCCCACTGCCCGCTCTGACGTCACCCGACTGGCCGCACACCTCAGCTGCTCAAGGCGGGCCTCATGGGACCGGGGCAGGTGGCAGAGCATCTCTTTCCCAGCCTGACAGAGAACCTGAGAGTCCAAGTGGGTGGCCCAGAGGGGCAGGAAGGAGGGAGGGTCCCAGGACACACACACACACACCCCGCAGTCAGACAAGGCGGCAGAAAATCACGCTCCTCTGACCCCCCCAGCCCGGTGGGTGGTGCCCAGCTCCCACAGCCCCTCCAGGCCCCACAGGACCAGTCCTGAGACCACCCCCACCCCCAGCTACGGTCCTGCGGCTCATGACCGCCGCTGAGATGGCCACCCCAGTGGCTCTGCCACGCCTCCCTGAGCCAGGGAGCCCCGCCTCTGCGGCCATGCCCCTCGGGTGCCCACAGGGTACTGTGCTCTCTGCACTGAACTAGGCCCTTGCGCACCCTGACCCTCCAACCCCTCCCACCAAACCTTGACCCCATGACCTCCGGCCTCTCCTGCTCACCCCAAGGCCCCGGCTGGCCTCCACTCCTGCCCTCAAGGCCTGCCATCCCACAGAGCACGCAGAGGGGCTCCAGGCTGGGCCCCCCAGGACCTCTCCCTCCGGGCACACCTAGGCCCCCATTAGTCGCCAGGCCCTGCTGGGCCTCCGCTCCGTGGAGCAGACAACCTAGTCTGTGCAGGGAAAGCTGACCACAGGCAGCACCAAGGCCGAGCTGTCCGAGTCGGAGAACCAGCCTGGGTGGCCCACAGCGGCCCTGGTGTCAGGGCAGCAGATGCCCCCCTGCGCCAGGCAGTCTTGAGGACCGTGTCATGGGAGGGCTCAGAGCGGGGCCCACCGAGGCCCTCTCCCCCCAGAGGCTGCAGTGACCAGGGCATGCTGAGAAGATCCTGAAGGGGACACAGCCAGATCTCCCGATGGCCCAAGCTGTAAATGTGTGTGGCCGGGTGTAGGCACAGGACAAGGTGGGGGGCCCATCACCTGCAGGACGCGCAGCACCCACTAAATAGTCAGGGGGACATGAACCCACAGAGCGCTAATGACCTAAGCTACAACTGGCCTTAGGTAGCAGTCCATAAAATGTGATCCTGTTAAGAAACTGGTGTTTGAACGCACTCCAGTAAAATCATGAGGCTGCCTACCATGGCCACTGCCATCTAAGGCCACTGCAGGCTGGCCAGAGGAAGGGTCATCCGCCAGCCCGTGGCCCACGACCCCAGGAGCTGGGAACAAGGGCGCAGCAGCGGCTGTCCCTCATCCAGTGGGGGCAGAAAGCGTGAACTCCCAGGAGCCTGTGGGGCCTAGGCAGGGTGTCCTATCCATGCCCCTTCCATGGGCACACGCTGGCCGCTGGCACTTGGGCAGCAGCTGAGGCTCTGCCACCCTGTGGAGTCCGACAGTCACGGCACACCTCCACCCAGCAGTTCGCCCTCCCAGGCCTGAGCTCCCCCAGGCCTGGAAGCCTGTATCTTTTCCTCTATGGTATCCTGGGTGCCCCACAGCTGCCGTCAGGAGGCCCCGGGCATGTGCTGACCCAGAAGACGAGGGAAGTGGCAGCCTGCATCTGGGGGTGGAAGACAGGAGGGGCCACAGGACACTCAGGGGAGGAAGCCCCTTGGGGGGTCAGCGCAGGGCAACAAGGGCTCTGACGGGAGCGGCGGGCTGCCCTCTGGCTGGCCTGGAGCCCTGGTGGCCGTGGCGGCAGAGAGGAGGCTGGGCATGGCGGGGGCAGGTTTTAGAAGAGGCCCAATTGGCTACTTTAAATGCAGAGCTGAGCAGACTTCCTGAAAGGCTGGATGTGAGGGGGAAAAGCAAAAGAGGTCCCGTCCGATTTATAAAAGAAACCATCACACTTGACCACACAGCATCGTGTCGTGGCCTGGAGAACTCATCGCTCCCAATCAAACTGAACAAAATCATTATAAAGGCCCAACAAGACCTTTTGGACTTGACAAGCTGAATCTGCAGATCATCTGAGAGTCTGGGGCGGCAGCCGTGCATTTCATGGGGAAACGGGATGACGGCGGGACCCCTGCACCTGGGCCCGCGTGCAGACAGAACCAGGTCACGCCATCAGCACCTGCACTTGGAAGAAGCCCGGTGGCTCTCAGAGCTCACACAAAAATTCATTTCAGGCTGATTAAAAACCTAACAGGTAAAACAATAGTGCGTGAAAACCGTTTTGAAGTCTGGGCACATCGTTGTGTGACCTCATCTGGGGATCGCTTCCTGAACCCGCAAATCAGCCACCACGGGAGGGCATGCGGTTTGATGGAACAAAGCGTCCACACAGCACAGGTCAGACGGGGAGAGGGCCCTTGCAGCAGGCAGGACAGGACAGTGGGCGGGGGGCGAGCGCTTAGACGCCAGGAGAGGGTCAGAGGGCAGGGGGAGAAACGGACATGAGTAGGCGTGTGGGAAGCACGCTCAGCCCTGGCTCCGGCCCACCAGAGGCTGGACGAGGTGGGCTGTGGTGGCAGTGCCACAAGACAGCCTGGGGCCAGATGTGCTCACCGGCCTCCCCAGAGGGCACCCTAAGAATACAATGTTGAAAATGGGAATGCTCTTAAAATCTGAATATTTATCTGAATTTAGCCAAAGGGAAAAATGGGCTACATGTGCATGCTGTGTCCTTCCACGAGTGAACACCACGGCTGCGTGCCCTCAGCGAGGCACCAAGCAGACGCTCCTGGGCCATGGTGGCCGAGAGGTGGGCTCGCACTGCAAAGCCAAGCCCCCTGTTTTAATAAGTGGAGGGGGCACGTGAGTGCACTGGGGGGGTGCTTGGGGATGTGCACACGTGCACATGTGTGTGCAGATCAAAACCTAAAGGAGTGTGTTCAGGACATTTATCCTGAGTGTCAAGATTAGAGTGGTTTTCACTCTCTTTATTCTCCTGTTTTTAACAAGCATGTATTGCCTGCATAATTAGAATAATAAAATCATTTTCATTTAGGGAAAATGATGCTGCAGAAAAATACTAATGCAGGATGCCCATGGCCTAGTTTAGAATATATGGATCATGCCCCCACTTTCAGACGCACATGTGTGCTGTGTGTGTCTGTCTGCATAGACACATGGGTTGGAAGGACACACACTCGAGTGATGACTTCCTGGGGTCAGAGTATTCTATCTTTTCTTTCTTGCACACGCATACTATGCAGCACTCCACAGGAGCCTCTTCCTTCCCGGCAGATCTAATGGGAGCTTCCCACAGCCCTTTGGGGTCAACGCCCCCACCGGGAGGGCCCTCCACAGGCTGGAACTGGCTATTGCTGGGCACAAAACCACTCCACTCCAGAGCAAAGCAGGGGCCGTGTCTCCCTCCAGCCCAGAGCCTTCCTGACCCCCTCCCAGAGCATCACCTGGGTGACCCCGCAAACTGACCCATAGGGAGCCCCATCTCTGACAAGAGACCAATGATATGCAACAAAACCACTATGTGGGTGGGGCTGCCTCGACCAGTGTAGAGAAAATGGGCGTTCCTGTGACCAGGATTCTCACCTGGCCCTGGTGGGCTTGCTCACTGCCCACGTGTGGGCAGTAGGTTATTACTGACTCTATATAAAGAGCTCCACCCAGGGCCCTGGGCTGCACGGCTGCAGAGGCAGGAGGGGCGGCAGCGCCGAGGACAGAGACTGAGAGGCTGTGGGGCAGAGGGGCCCAGGGGCAGAGACTGGCCTGCTGCCTGCAGACTCGCTCCGAGTGGACGGGATTCTAGTGACTGACCTGTCACCGTGGGAATAAAGCTGGGTGTAAATCCTGTCACCCCCAAGAATGTTCCATTGTCATTACTCAGTCTTAACAAATCAACAGTGAATTTGCCTGGGACTGAAAGCCACTGGTGGGACAGCCAGCAAAAAGCCAGCCTGGATGGGGTCCCCACGCAGGCTCCATCACCCCCTTTCCCAACCGCCTCACGCCCTGCTGTCAGCAGCAAGCCCCTCCCCCTCTGCCCTGGACACGCCCACCACCTCCGCGCTCTGAGGCCCCGCCCCTTCCTCCCGCCCTCTCCGTGAACGCAGACCCGTGCGCACAGCCCAGCCTCCTGCGGCCCCGTTCCTGGCGCAGAGCCTTCCCCCACCCCCATCCCGCTTCCATCCCAATCACAGGTGATTTGAATAGCAAAGCCTCCTGGCACGCGCCTGGCACCCACGGACACTCAGTAAATACACGCGGAAGGAATGACTGTCTCGGACATCAGGGTGCTCCGATCCCGCGCCTCGTGAGCCGGCGCTAGAGAGCTGGGGCGCTGGGCTCCTGGGAAGCCTCCAGACACCCTGCAGACGTGCAGAAGTGACCCTCCAGCATCATCTCTAGCGGGTGCCCCAGTCCTGACCCTGACCCGCCCAGCCATCCTCCTCTCCTGACAGGCGGGCGGTCTCGAGGGGCCTGGGAGATCCGAGGGACAGGTGGTGGGCGCAGGGCCCTGGGAAGCTCTGGGCTTGCTGGGTCGGGGCTGAGCAGGGCAGAGGGGGGTAAAAACACACCCAGAGGGGTCACTTTATTGCAAGTGAGGGAGACATTGCCATGCTCAGGCATGCAGGTGCAGGCACCCCACGTTAGGCTGGAAGATTCCAGGGGCCCGCAGCCCAGAGGCCACCCCAAAGTGCAGGTGTGGGCAGTTAAGAATCAGGACGGCCCAGGCCTCAGGCACCAGGTGCCGCTCCTCTACTGGGATTCTTCCACCCGGCAGGACATGTCCTCCAGGTAGGCCCCTGGGCGAGGGAAAGAGGAGCGTGAGGGGCCTGGGCAGGCCCCAGGGAGGTGGAGGCACGCGCCTCAGGAATGCAGACTGACCCCGGGGCTGTGCCTCCTGCGACAGAGGGGTCCCAGCGACCTGAGCCCAGCCCACTCGGGGAGAGGGTTGCACTGGTCGAGTCCTGCTGCCTGCTTGCGTGTGTGTGTGGCGTATACGGCAAGGCCTGAGGGCCAGCTGCAACTGCTCTTCCAAGAGGCTGTCCCCCACCCAAGGAGCAGTGCCCAGACTCTGGGTGACCCCCACTGTGGGGCCTGGAATTAGAAGCCTAGCTTTACAGAGAGGGAACAGGTGACAGCTTGTGTGGGCGCTTGGAGTGGCTTTGGGGGCAAGGGTCCAAGGGCAGGGGCCAGCCCAGCCTCTCCATCCACAGCAGCACACTCTCTGAGAAAGGGTGGGTGACGCTTGCCCCCTCCCCAGCCAATCCCAGGGCAGCTTTGCAGACAGCTTCGCTCGCTGACGCCCACCCTGGGAATCGTGACCCACGCGCCCACAGCTGCTCCTCAGGTCGCTCCAGAGGGGAGGGGAGGAGGTGGGGAGGGGAGGGTGGTTCTAGAGGCTGGACCCTGCTGATGGCCATACCTGGAGAGACACCTGGGCGGGCAGGCCTGGAGGAACCCTCAGAAGCAGCCCCAAGGCCAAGTGCCCTGGTGGACCCAGTGTGGGCAGAGCCCCAGGCATCCAGGAGGCCCTAGGTATTGGGTCCCAGCCCTGTGGGATCAGCATACAGCCACCTCCAGGGAGCGGGGAGCACTCTAGGCATGGTGTTACCCCAGTACATGGAGGACAGGTTGGCTCAGTGCCCTCTGTGCCCTCTGGGAAATCTGGAAAGTGGCTTGAATCTGAGACTTTGGGGAATGATGGTGACCCCGTGCCAGCCACCCCGCAGCTGCACTGATCCCTGCTCACCAGCGGCCATTAGGGCGCCACAGTCCCTCCCGTGGAAGTCCGCCCAGGCTCTGCTCTTACAGGCCTTGCTGCAGGTCAGGATCCCGTAGCAGCGCGTGCAGGGCATGAGGCGCACCCCAACGGAGCGGCCGCACTGGTAGCAGAACTTGAAGAAGGGAATCCTACGAGGCAGCCATGCAGGAGTCAGTCAGGGCCTGCCCTGCCATGCCCACTGGACAGGGTGACCCTCCACACAGGCTGGGGGTGGAGGGCAGGTGTGGGGGGCAGTGGCCTGCCTCACACGAGGCAGCACTCGCACAGGGACAGGGCAAGTCCCCATAGGGACATGTCCGGCACAGGGCTATTTAGGACAGGCAACTGGCACCTCGCCCTAGGAGTCACCACGTGCTCCCCAACAGGGCTGGGTAGGAGGCCAGGACATGGTGTGGGGTGGGAGGGGCAGGCCCAGAGCAGACACACTGCAGGGCCAGGGTGAGCCTGGCATGCCATGTCCTCTGCTTCGGGACAAATGGGAGCCCCAGCAGACGCACTCCCTGCCTGCTCTGTTCTCCTGGTCCACTGGGCAGGTGCTGTCCAGGTACCCATGGGAGTAATAAGATGCACGAGGCCGTGGAGCCCCACTGGTAGCCACCCCCATCTGCCACCCCACGTTGGCCCAGTGACCCACACCTGGGCCCGACAGCAGGGCCACAGGGCTCAGGACCACGGCAACAGGGCCAGGGTGCGGGGGGCCCAGCCGGGGCCCAGCAGCACCACGCAGCCCCCTGACGCCCTCAGCTGCTCTCAGCTGGCACTTACCGCTCCGGCTCAGCCTGAGGCTCCTTGGGCTGGCCAGTGCCTGTCCGCCTTGGGTTATGGCAGAGGGTCAGCGCCGCTGTGCCGAGAGAGACCGTCAGAGCTCTGTGGGCCCTCCAGGTCCCAGTGCCCAGGGGTGGGGGGCTGCCGGGCCGCCTGCCTGGCCCTCCCGCAGCAGGGAGGCAGGCGGGGCCCGGGACAGGCCAGAGGGGCAGCGGCTTGGGCAGGGCTCTCTGTGACCGCCCCGGAAGCAGACCCAGAGGGAGGCCATCACCGTGAACTGCAGGCTGACCGCTCTGTTGGTGTGGGGGACACCCTGGGATGTAAGCTGCTCCAGGTCCCATTCAATCAAATGGAGGCTCTTCGAAGGGACTGACCCTGAGGTCCTTAAGCCTTGTTCTGACCTCAGAGGGCGCCCTCCCACCACCTCTGCCCCAGGTTCTCTGTAAGGAGCCAGCCCACGTGCAGTTCTGCCCAAGAACAGGCAACCCCAGCCCGCTGCCTGTCCCCCCTGGGACTCCCTGGTCCACACTGCTGAGAATGGGGTCGGACCCTTCCGTGAGATTCAGAGCATGGCCCCCAAGGGCGGGATCTCCGAGCTGCTGCCTGGCCCTGGGGATGGAGGCGCCAGGCTGCCCTCTGTTCCAGGGCGGCGGGGGAGCCCGGTCAGCGCCTCCCCCAGCTGGGTGTTCCCAGAGCCCCGGGGGTGAGAAGCACCCAGTGCTGTCAGCAATGCCACACACCACGAGGGGCCTCTGTGCCCAAACCCCCGTGCCCCCCTCAGCCACGTGAGCCAGCAGCTCACCTTGGCATGGAGTGGGGGGTGCAAGGGGGGTTATGGGCTGAATGTATCCCCCCAGATTCGTATGCTGAAGCCCTAATCCCAGTGTGGTGGGGTCAGGACCAGGGCCTGGGAGGAGATGAGGTCGTGCGGGTGGAGCCCATGGTGGGATCCGTGCCCTGGTGTCACACCTCCCTGCCTCTCCCTCCCTCGCCCCTGCAGGACCCAGAGAAGAGGCTGTCTGCAGCCAGGAAGGGGCCCTCACAGCACCAGCCCTGTGGCCGCCCAACCTTGGGTGCCAGCCTGAGGGTGGAGGGTGCAGGATACAGTGAGACAGGGCAGTGTGCGGGGCCGCGTGTGGGGTGGTGGTGGCTGCAGGCCTGCGGGGGGGCAGCAGCAGGCAGGTTGGGGTGAGTGGGGGGCACTCCTGACAGGGTGGCCCAGGACTTCACCTCCCAGACCGGCAGCACCCGTGGGGCAGGGCCCTCCCTCAGCCCAGGGTGCTGCCCGCTGAAGTGCAGAGCCAGCCCTCTGCCCTCCTCCTGTGCTGCCCGACCTGCTGGCACTCTGGGCAAGAGGGGGCCTGTCCGCTGACCCCAGCCCATGAGAATGAAGTGGTCCTGTGGCAGGCAGACCGACAGGTGCCAAGGGGCCAGGACCCCCTGCTGCCCACAGAAGGCCCTGTAGCAGCCTTGGGAAGCTGGGCTGGCACCTCACCCTTCTCAGGGGTTGTGCCCCCTAACCCCCACCCCATGGCAGCAGGGTGGACTCAGACCCTGTGTCCCCCGGCACTAACGTGGGGCTCCCAGCCTCATTCCCACAGTACGTCCTGGGGCTCCCGTCGGGTCCTGCACGGCCTCCTTGGACGGCAGGGCCAGGGGACCTGCCCAGCAGGCGGCCTGCAGCACCCACCTCACGCCTTGCCCACGCCCTCCCCCAGGGGAACCCCGAGGCACCCCTGGGCCCACCTCGCTTGCTCAGGTACAGCGCCTTTGGGTCCCACTGGCTCTCCTTGGAGAGGACGGCACAGCGCAGCTGGAAGCCCATGTGGTCTAGGAGCCTCTTCCGGGCCAGAAACGTCTCCCGCTCAGCCGGCATCAGCACATGGAAGGGGCAGTGGGCGATCTTCCGGTCCTGCAGCACAGGACACAGCACCACCAGTGACCAGTGACCCAGGAGGGCAGGCCCAGCCCCCGCCCATCGTCACAGGGACCCTGGTGGGGGGCACCTCCACTCACGGTGCTTTGAGGACAAACCTAACAGTGCCCAGAAAGCTGGACACGGGCAGTCAGGCCCGCAGGACATGCCGGGGGGCCTAGGGCTCCCCTCCCACTGGGCCAGGGGCTGGCTCTGGGGTGCATGGTGGGCTGTCACCCCAGCTTTTCCCCAGAGACACAGAAGGCCCCAGCCCAGCTCCATCAGCAGCGGGAGACCCAAAGCCGCACCTGGTAGAATCTGAAATACCCGTAGTCGACGGCTGTGCCCACAGCCACCTTGTTCCCCTGAGTGAGGGTCACCGGGCTCAGGATATCAGCCCCGTAATCAATGAGCTGGTCAATCTGCAGAGACAGGGCCTGGGTCAGTCAGCAGCAGGTACCCGGCTCCCAGGAAGCCAGACTGGAACTGGGGTGCCCAGGTGTCCAGCAGAGCAACGCTGTGGCCCGGGCCACCCGAGGCTCCTGGGTCCTCTCGACACACTCACTGGGCAGCAGGAACCAGCCCAGGGACCCAGCCCCCCACAGGAGGGCCGGTGCTGTGGGAAGGGCCACCGGCGCCTGCACTACCCAGGGAGGCCTCCTCCCAGGTGTGTGGGGTCAGCAAGACAGACGCTCTGGTCACACGGATGAACAGACATCAGCGTGGGGAGGCTGCCCACGCACCCCCGGCAGTGGCGTTACCCGGCATTTGTGAGGCCTGGCTGCGGGTGGCCCCTGGGCTCTAAGTGATTCCAGGGCAAACGCCAGCCTGGCCTGGTCAGTCTCAACCCACTGTGCCCGGGGCTGCTCAGTGAGACGTGCATGCATCACCATGTGCTCACCGCGTGTGGGCATGTGGGTGTGCACATGCATGTGCGTGTGACCTGGCACATACACAACAAGGTCTCAAGCTCAAGACACACCACACCAAGCACACTCGCGGCCAACAGCATGGGGCAGAGGCTCCTGCCCACAGGAAGGAGGCGAGCCCCCAGGGAGCCCTCCCGGCTCACAGCTCCATCGAGCAGCCCCGGCGACCCAGGGCCACAGGCTGCATGCCGCCCCACACGAGCGGACGGAAACTGGGCTGCCATCCGCAGGACCCTCGCTGTGCTGCCCTCGGTGAGGGTCCTCATTCCCTCAACTCCCTTGGCACTCGCTGTTCACAGACACACAAACCAGACTCTGAGCCGCTCCATGAGCAGAGCCCCAAGAGCACGGGAGGCAGCGTCAGGGGTCAGATGTCCCCAGCACCAGAGCCCGGTGTGGTCAGCAGGGGGCATGGGTGGGCTGTATACATGGGCTCCTCATGGTGACAGAACACTATGCCAGGCATACGACAGGCAAAGTGGGAGTCAGCTGTCCAATGCCCTTGGGCAGGAGCAGCCTGATCGCCTCGGGCCCTCCTGCCCGCCTCTCCATGCCCAGGAATGAACGCCCATATGACAAGCCAGGTGCACCACGGGAGTCTGGGGCAGAGGAGGGGAGGGGTGGGGGCCTGACCCAGGGCAGAGCATGAGAGGGCCCCCTCCACGCCCCTCACCAGGGCCAGCTTGCTCTCCACGCTCCTCCGGTGCTCATAGGAGATGTCACAGGCGACGCACAGGGCACTGCCCAGGCCTCTGGTCAGGCGCAGGTTCGGGTCAGCCCCATGGGACAGAAGCTCCTTCACAATCTGGAACAGATGGCTTGTGAGCACTGCAGGTTGGCCCCTGAGCATGTGGAGAAGCCAGAGCGAGGCCCAGGGGTGGGTGGGGAACAGGTGGGGTGGGGGCAGACACTCCTGGGCACCAGCAGGGAGCTGCCCACATGCTTCCTGGGTGCACTGAGCTGAGGACTGGGACAGGCGGGGGCTGCGGCCCAGAGCCCGTGGGGGGGGCCTCCTCCCAGCTGAGGCTGCACCCTCTCTGCACCCTGCCCTCCCCAAGAAGCTCATCCATGTGGGAGAGGGTTCTCCAGGCCCCCAGCAACCGCGAATCCCGGCCTGACCGGGGTGGCACCCTGGAAACATGGTCAGCAGGCACACATGCTCACCAGGTCGTTCCCACTAGCGATGGACAGGGAGAGTGGGGAGTGGCCACTCCACAGCATGGTGGGGTCTGCCTTGTGAGACAGAAGAAGCCGGACTACGTCCCTGGCACACTGCGGGGAGAAAGGCAAGGGATGGCAGGTTAAAGAGGCTCCCAACACCGGACCTGGGTCATCAGCGCAGGTGCCTTAAAACCCACTTGGGCATCTAACTGCCCCTTCCCCCACACCAGCTGCATCTGGCACAGAGGGCATGCTGCATTTGGGGTGCATGAATGGATTGGTCGGGGCTGGCAGTGAGTCTTCTGAGATGATGTTTTCTAATCATTTGATAGAAAAGGACAAGTGATACATAAATTGATGTCAAGCTTGTTTGCAAGAGAAAGGGGAGACAGGAGCAGGAGGCCATGGAAGCAGGAAGGGCCCTTGACAGGTGTGGCCATGAAAGGGGACCACGCCCTCCAGCAGGGCTCAGCAGCCGTATGGTGAGGGGTTCCTGTACCCACCTTGCTGAGACCCAATCCCCAGGGCAGACAGCAGGCAGTGGCTGCCGGGCCAGAAGGACATGGCCCCAGGCTCTGCAAAGATTTCCCCTATGATCCCGAGTCGGGGATGGTGCCGGATGACGCAGATGGCTCACTGCTTCCAACACACACATTGGCTCACATGCACACAGACCAACCTGCTAGTACAAGCTCACACAAAGATGTGTTTGCACAGGTACACATACATATAGCACACACATGTGCATGGTCATGTCCACACCCATCTGTGCACTCACACATGTGCACATGCACACAGGCATCATGCACTCACTGCACGTGACTACCACACTCACTCTGTAGTTGTCCTCCCGCTCACAGGCCACGTGCAGAGCTGTCCTGCCCCCCTCATCCAGGGCAGACGTGCGCTCAGCATAGTAGATGCTGGGTGGGCCCGTTTCACCACTGAGCTTCAGGCTTGAAGGCAGCAGGTCTAGCTGCAGCAGAGAGAGGGTCAGGTGCAGCCCCGGAGCCTCTCCCATCAGTGCCCAGAGACCCACCACCTGCCCAGCCAGACCAGGCCAGAGCCCCTGCAGGGCCAGGCTAAGACGGACACTCCACAGAGCCCCAGGAGCGAGCGCCTTCCTCCCCACCCTGCACGTCAGAAGCCCCATCCCAGAGCGTTAACTAACCTCCTCAGGGACAGGTAACACAGAAGGGAAATTTTGAACCAAAAGGGTGACACTGTCCACAGAGACCCCAGGGGCCCAAGTGCCGCAGCCCCACAGCAGCCGGGCAGTGCACCTGGTCCCACTTGTACACGTCATCCTGGTCTGCTGCCCTGGCGTCCACGTCGGTGATGGCGTGGAGCAGCAGCTCTGTTATGTGGACACCCTCCTCCCCGGGCAGGGCAGCTGCAATGTGGAGGGGGGTCAGGGACCCCAGCTGCAGAAGAAACGTGGGTGGGAGTGAGGGCGTGGCCCCCACAGCACAAGGGCCTGTCCTTCTCCGCCTGACAGCCCTCTGGCCACTGGTTCAGAGTCACCGGAGGACCGTCTCTTGGTGGTGCTCAGTCAGCACCGGCCACACACAGGTGGGCAGGGGACCCAGGCCCAGAGGAGAGGGGACCTGGTGGGGGGCCTGCAGCAGACCTTGGGTCAAGGAGAGGGAATCACCCTCTGCCTCTCCCTCCCTGACCACCAGACAGGGTCCCAGGGGAACAGCAGGGCGCTCTTGGAGAAGGGGTGGCAGGGTGCTCAGGAACCAAGACATCCGCAGTGCCCAGGGCTGGCGTGCAGAGCGGAGATGCACGGGGTGGGGTGGGCGCTTCTCCTGACACGTGCCCCCTATTACATACTTGAGTATTTTAATAAAGAAAAACCCACTGGAAAGATGAGTGTGCAAATAACAGGTTGTCGGTCTGGAATCAACGGGCAAGGGAAGGAACAAGTGGCGTCTGCCGAGTGTAAAGGCCACAACGTGAGCCGGCTTCGAAGACAGTCCTGTCAGCAGACCCAGGGAGCTGCTGGGAAATCACCCAGGCCTCCTGCTAACATCCTCTGGTTCCACGGCCCCTCACCTCACACCAGGACACGGACAGAGAGGCCCGGCCAAGGGGCCTGGAGGGGAGACCCCCACCACCAAGCAGGAGCCAGCCTCACAGAAGCCAAACCAAGCTTGGCAGCCCTCAGCAACAGCACCTTCTCAAGATGACAGAGAGGCGGGCAGGTGCCCGTGCCAGGGACAGGCAGCTGCCCGGAGGGCCCAGCTGTGCACCAGGACCCCAGCCCTTGAGCCCCTGCCCACGCCCACCTTGGCAGGGAGCTCGATGTCGGTCCTGGCCCCCTTCTGCAGCAGCAGCTTCACACCCTCCACATCTCCGGCCTTCACGGCGAAGAACAGGACCTGCATGGGCACGTGGCACAGGTTGGGGTCCGCACCACGGCGCAGCAGGAGCCTGATGGTCAGCCACCAGTTTCTGTGCCTGGAAGAACCAGCATGACACGGTTATGGACAGAGGCAGCTGTCTGGACAGCACCCCAGCCAGGGCCGGGCAGCCTGAGCCCCACCTCTCACAGCCAGGGAAACACCAGGGTCCCACCTCTCCAGGACCTTCAGCCCTGCCCTGGGGCGGGGTGACCCCCCCACTGCCAACCCTGCTGAGCGGGCCAGCCAAGTTCCGTCCCCCTGTGCCCCGCCCTGCTGCAGCCCCGGGTGGTCGCCTGGCTTTGCCAAGAGCCCCTGTGAGGAGTGGTGTGGGGCAGGCACCAGCCTCCCTCAGGGAGTGGCTGTGAGGCCACGGCGCAGAGTATCTAGTATGCACAGGGCAGAGTCATTTCACACAGCAGACATGCACACACACATGCAAAATACACAGCAGACACGCACGCGTGCACACTGGCACACATCTCTTGCATGGAGCACAGAGGCTGCCCTGGTGGAGAAGCTGTGCAGAGCCCTGGGCCTGGGGAGCGTGGGGAGCGGCTGGGATGGCAGCGCCAGGGCAGGGAGGAGAGCAGGCAGGAGTGGGCTGGCAGCCTGTTGACCCCACCACCTGCACAGAACCGGTGGGCAGGCAGGAGGGCGGTGCAGAGGCTGGGTCAGTCTAGAGCAACGGTTCTCAAATGTGCTGCTCTCAGGACCCCTTTCTACTCTTCCAATTCCTAGAGGGTCCTGAAGAGGTTCTGTTTATGTGGGTTCTATCCATCCCCATCTGGTGTAGTACAAATTAAGACTGAGAAAATGTCTAAAATACTAACACATTTAAAAAGTGACAGTAACAAACCCACTGCATATCGACATAAATAACATTTTTATGAACGGCGCTCACGGAGCCGCAGCCCACGGGTGACCGAGGGAGTCAGGGCACGTGCACGTGTAAAGAGCTGCTTCACTGACGTCCTCCCACGTTGACACACACGTGCTCTGACGTTCCAGTGTCCACCTGAAAGCTGGCATCTCTGGTGACACACACTGTCTGCCACTCTCCTTACAGCAAAAGGCCGACTCTGCTCAGAGGGTGAGTGACCGCAGTGTGTCGGCTGGTTGTTCTTTCCAGCAGAAGTGGTGGCCCACGCGGAGAATGGCAAATTCCATTCGCAAGTCAGGCCACAGGAGGTGTGCGTCACTGCAGGCAGCCAGCCTACCTGGCTCATCTCAGACGAGTCAGGCACCCCTCTCCTCGTCACCCAGAACATGAGGAAGCACGGCCTCCGGGGTCAACATTTAATAAGCTAGTGATTTCTGCCCCTCATCGAACACCTCCTCCAGGGAGGTGTGTTCTCTCCTGCATGGGCCCAGCTCCCTCGGGAGTTGGCAAGTAATGCCTTCAGATTAGCACAAGAACGGGCTCGGCCTCACACACCACCAGAAGGGCCTGGGACACCCAGGGTACATGGGCCACACTTTGAGAACCACTGGTCTAGACGGTGGGGTAGGGCCAAGGGTATGGGCAGGACTCCCCCAGCGAGCCACCGGCTGCCCGCCCTCGGCCACCTACTTGACCATGGACAGTGCCATCCTCCTCACGGTGCCCCTATCAGCCTCGAAGGAGGGGCCACGCAGCATGCTGTAGACCTGGGCACTCTGCTCCAGCAGTGACCAGGCCAGCTCACTGGGGAAGCTGCGCACACACACGCTCAACTCCCGTGGTGTCTCATTGCTGCACACTGTGCCCTGGGCTGTGCCCCGCAGCCCGTCGGTCAGCTGCTGCTCCGGTTCACTGACGCTGCCCCGGGGAGACACCAAGTCCCAAGAGGTCAGGGCACCCTTTGCACTGCCCGCCCTGGGCCACAGCCTTGGTCCCCAGCTGCTTTGGGCAGATTCCGGGTCCTCACAAGCGACAGGCTCCACAGTCGCTCCGGCAGTGAGGAGGAACTGCTTCGAATTCCTGGGGCTTTTGGCGCTGCCTCAGGAAGCATCAGAAAGCAGGGCAGTAGGAGAAAGAAGACAGCGGAGTTCTCAACGCCACCCACCCCCTTAAACCACCTTCTCTAGCGAATGCCTCAGAGGCCTTGTGCAGAAACCTGAGCCACACAGCAGCCGCCACCTGCGAACAGCCTGCCCAGAGCCGGGATGCGCCACACATGTGAGGAGACCAGAAAAAACTGCAAAGTGTCACTGATGATTGTTGGGCTGCTGACTCACTGAAGCAATACAGTCGGACACACTTGCTCAAATGAAATATGTCATCAAAATTAACTCCAGCGTCCCCACTTCCTTTCCTGTGGCTCTGAGAGCGCCGATCTCACACAGGTGGCTGGCGCTGCCATCCCACCCCCTCCAAGTGTGCTCTCTGAACCGGCTGCATCAGCAGGACAGTGGGTTCTTGGCCCCCCAGACCCGTGGAGGCAGATGCCAGGGCTGTGCCCCCGTGACCTGTGGCTTTTCCAGGGAGGGGCCGACGATGAGCAGCCTTGGCTCCGAGGGCCTAGGGGTCCGCCCGACCGCACAGCCAGCACAGCCATGCAAGACCAGCCAAAGGCAACTCCCCAAACGACAGCCTGGCTGTGCACCAACACAACTTCACAGGCAAGAGCACGGCAGAAGGGAGAGCCGGTGGGGAGGAGCCCTGCTCCGGACGCCTTCTCACGCTGGGGAGCCACTCCCCACAGGGAGCGAGTTGTCCGCAGGGCGGCAGGCAGCCTGGAGTCCGCTGTAGGAAAAGCCCAGCTTATGCAACACACAAAAGACAGAAGCTGGGGGCAAGCAGGGCGGACGGTCAGACTGGCAGCCAGCTGCCCGCGGGGTGCGAGCTTGCTCGACGTGGCCTCACTTGACTCATGAGAGGGTTGTTGGGATGAACCCGACAGCATCAGGGGACTTAGAAACGGGCCGCCTACTGTTTTAGGGGAGGGAGATGATGGTGTTTGTGGTCATGTCACAAAAGGGAGAGGGAGGCAGGTGGAAAGAGGTACTGAGTCTAAAGTGGCAGGTGTGGGATCTGCTCTGCAGCCACGTGAGGCGGGCAGTGACCAGAGGGGCCCCTGTGCCGTCATCACACAGCAAAGTTTCCTTTGGTGTATGTGTAATATTTTTTGGATTAAAAGGTTTTTTTTTTATAAAGGAATGATTTTTATAAGAATTTTAAGAATAGAAATAAAGGCTTTCTGGGGCCCCCACTTCCTTCATCGGTAATTGAGTTAGTCTGGTCAAATGTTCTCCCACTACAGGGCCCCCAAAGATACCCAGCTGCGTTTCCCACTTGCAGGAGGGGTACGCAGCACCAGCGCCCCCCACTCTGCCCCTCTATCTCCGGCTCCAGACACCCGCCTGTGCCCCAGACCCCTGGAGCTTGGAGAGGTTGTGGGAACAGGCCCAGCCCCTGCCCCCGAAGCCCCCATGGACGGGGAGACAGACCCAAGTGATGCTCAATTGCCACAGAGCTTGGAAGTTGGTCATTCTTGTAAGTCAGCAGTTTCCGACTGAGAGAGAAGCCATAGCCTCACAAACTAGACATAAATAATTCGGTGCTGCTGGAAAACAATACAGGACAGGGCTGGTTTTCAGGCCACCACCTGTGACCTGCATTTTTGTTGCCATGGATTCGCCATCACAGAGCAGGAAACAGCCCCGACGAGGTGCCTTCAGAGGCTCAGAGTCCAGAGTGCCACAGAAACAAGAGCAGGGCAGGGCTGCCGGGACCCAGGACCACGGGCAGGCCCGCCCAGGGACCCAGCCACCAGCACACAGGGCCCACCCAGGGCAGGCGCAGCTGTGGCCTCCACACTCCCACTCCAATGCTGACGACACCTCACAGAGCCCAGGGCAAGAGGCGGAGGGGCCTGGGTGGGGCAGCTGGCAGCCCTGGGCACTCTCCCCTGGGGCGCAGGATGGCGTAGGGAAGCCTTTCTCAAGACCAAGATTCAAGGGGCCACAGGAGACACTTTCAGGCTGGAGTAACTGTCACCCACTCCCCAGCCCCGACAGCCCTCAGCCCCTCCCAGGTCTCTCTTGCTGGACCTCAGTCCCGGCCCTGCAAGCCCGAGTGGCTGAGTCAGGGCCCAGGGCAGCTCTCCTGCAGGAGCTGCCCCGCCTGTGCTCAGGCACACAGGTGCCAGGCTCGCCTGTGGTGCCCATGCCCCCTCGCCCAGCGCCGAGACAGAGGCACCATGCTGCTGCAGCTAATGGCTCGAGGCTTACCCCCTAGGTCGGCATGGTCCACTGTGGCAGCCAGCAGTCCCACTCCTGGGCACACATCAAAGCAACAAAGGGGGGCCTCACCCTGGAATCCTGAGGCCTTCCCCCCATGGCATCCCCTTTCCTGAGGCCCACAGGAGGGGCCCCTAAGGGACACAGGACCCTCAGCATCAAAGCGATGAGCTCAGGATGCCTGAGCAGGCTCTGTCCCTACCACCTGCTTTCCTGTCATTCACCCCACCGAGCCGGGGCCACACGAGGGGGACAGATGGGAGGAGAGATGGGTGGACAGGGTCCTGGCGGGGGGATACTGACCCGGCCTCGGGTGCTGGGCCGACCTGGGACTCGGGTGCTGTCCTCTCGGCAATGTTGGGCTTGAAGGACCTGGCCGGGTAGTGGAGGAGGAAGGACATGCTGAGAGGCGTGAGGCCCTCGTCCGAGCGCTTGTTCACATCGGCCCCGCTGTCCAGCAGGAGGCTGATGACGTCAGTGTGACCGTGCACCTGTAGGGAGAGGGCCAGCCTCGCGAGGACATGCCTGACGCTGCGTGGGACCCAGCACCCCCAGCAAGGCTCCACGCCAAGGGCAGCAGACGCAGCTCTCACCCGGCGTGAGAAGAGTCTGTCCACCTGACCCTCACATCGCCCAGGGGCTGGCATCACAGCTCTGCATGGAGTGGGGGGGGGGTGCCCAACCAGCAAGTGGGCCACAGGGGGACCCTAAAGCCCACACAAGCACCCCGGCAGGCAGGGGATCTCACAGCGGCCGCGGCGAGCACGGTGTAGCCCTTGGCGTCGGCCACGTCGGGGCTGGCAAGGTTGTCCCTGAGGACCCCATGAATCCAGTCGCAGGCCCCTTCTTCGGCCCTCAGGATCATCTCCCGGGACAGCCGCTCCTTGGGCCCGCAGCGTGCGAAGCTGCTCCGGTTCCCCACCAGGATAGCGCCCATGTTCCAGCTGTCGTGGGCCTTCTTGTTCCTGCAACGCAGTGGGCTTGTGGCACGAGACTGGCTCCGGACCCCCAACACCTACCACCAAGGGCCGCCCAGGCCTGCCTTCCCTCCCCTCCAGGGTCCTGGCCCCCACACTGCTCCAGGACCCCTGCCTCCCCTTCCCAGCCCTCCCTGGACACCCTGCATGCGGGCCAGCCACAGGGACACAGCAGTGGTGGGACACGCTGCCTGCCGATGAACATGCTCAGGCTGAGCGTCTGCCCCGGCAGGAATGGCTGTGAATCTCTGATTCACCGGGTCCCTCCATGGGCACTGGAAAAGGGGCTCTCCCAGGACGGGCCCCAGGTGGGGAGAATGCCCAGCACGGACCTGGGTCTGACACACACCACCAAGCACCCACATCCCGCCTCTGCTCATTCACTTTTCTATTTGAGTAGAGAACATGCAAATCCCATGACCCATTCACCACACACACTGAAGCCTCCTGTGTACACATAGCCTCCTTTACAGTCAAGAAACTGTGGGTTAATGCAGCTCCCATACCCAAGAGTCTTTAGTGATTATAGGTTCAGCTGATGTTCGCCTGATGGATGGATGGGTGGGTGTGTGGGTGGCTGGATGGACAAGTGGATGGGTGGGTGGGTGGATGGATGCCTAAGTTGCCACTTGCGCTCACAAACGTATCCTAAAACAGTGTAATTTTACTAAGTACAAAGTTTAAGAAAGGGATTAAAATATTCTTGAAATTTTTAACTTAAAAAGTCAGTTTTCGTCAGGTAGGCACTAACTGTCCCATGGCTGGGGTGGGGGGTGGTCTTTGGAGGCCAAGACAGAGCAGCTTCCTGGGGTCCCAGCCATCCTTGGAGAGGCCCCCCGCCCAGCCAGCCCCCAGCCCAGCCCTGCCGTGCTCTCACCCCTCAGTGTGGGCTTTCCCGCCCCTTCATCCAGGGGCAGCACCAGCCAGTGACGCAGGGGCAGTCGTGCATGTTGACCCTGACAAATGACTCTGGAAGCGCTCTGCTTGGGGCGGGGCCTTCAGGACCCCAGTACGGGGGGGCAGGCCTGCCTGGGGAGCGACAGGGGCCTCTGGACACTGGGAGGACGGGAAAGATCGGGCTGATCACCTGAACTTGTAAGTTTGCTTCTGGATTCTGACCATCAAAGGGGTCTCATTCTGGATGAGCCAGGGCTGTCTGTCTTCAGCCAAGGGAGGGGTGTCATCGAGGAAGACCCGGGCGTCCAGGTCTTCGCGGAAAGAGCAGGTCATGGGTAGGTGGCCACTGTCAGTTGAGTAAACGTATATTTCTGGTGGCAGAGTTAGGTCATCATTCAGAAGAAACCGCTTATAGTCATAGAAAAAGGGGTCCTGTTCTTCATGCAGGTCCCACTCCATCTTTTCCTCATCTGAGAGACTGATTCTGGCCGGGCAGCGCATGAGGAAGCCTGAGAACTCAGGGAAGTTGCTCATGGAGAAGCTGCCAGGCACCTCCGTGCACAGCTTGATGAGATGCTCCCGGAACCACAGCCCAACATCCTGGCTGCCATCAGGGTAGGTCTCGATGCCTGGCCCAAACCGCCTGTCTGCCTTGTACAACCCCTACAAGGCAAAAGAGGTGAGCCAGCTGGGGGCTGGGGGCTGTGTGACCAGCTCCTTAGAATCAAAGATGTAGTTCCTAAGAAATGTACTCATCCATTCAACAAATACTGACTGAGGCTGGTATGTACCAGGCACAGGGGCTAAAGCAAGTGTGCAAACGTGGAATGCATCAGCAAAAAAGGATGCTACGGGCCTGGGGTGGTTGGGGGCAGGCTTTCTGCAAAGGCGGGGTTGTGACCAGAGGCCTCAAGGTGGCAGTATGTTGGGGATACACGTGTGGGCTCATTTCAGAGAACCCCTGAAACACTGTGGGCCCACCCCACGTATCCCAGCATCTGGTGGGGTGGAGGCACCCGCCACTAGGTCAGACTGACCCCAGCAGGTGTGGACTAAGGAGTGGCGGGGAGGAGGAGGGATGAGGTAGGGGAAGGAGATGGGGGCGCAGACCCTGGATTCCCAGGACCTCAGCAGGCTGCAGCCATTCCCAGCCTTGCTGAAAGCTTCCGCTAGTGGAGGATGTGTGGAGAGAGGAGAGCCCAGAGCACCTCAGGAGAATCACTGGGCATGAGTGCAGCCCAGCAGGGGAATCCGGGGGTGAGAGTGTGGCAAGGTCCAGCTTCCCGGGACTAACGCTTTCGTTAGTCGGGAGCTGCTGTTCCTCCCAGGACGCGTCTTGAGGGCGGCAGAGAGATGCTGACAGACACCAGCAGGGAGCAGGCAGCAAAGCTCTTAATGAAGAGTGAGAGAGTAAAAGGAAAAAGACGCCTGCTCATCAGGAGGGGCTGTAGGAGAGGATACCCCTGGGGCTGCACTGTCTAGGGTTTTATAAGAACAGAAAGGAGGTTTACATCATTGGACGGGGCTTGTTGTAGGGCCAGGCTGGGATCGGAAGACCCCCTCGTTTCTCAGGCTAGATTTTCCAGGGGTCCAGGAGGGGCCTCTTTGTTCACTGCGTCACTGCGAAGCCTGGACCCTAGGTCCCCTCTGACTGCTCCTTACCAGGGCCTTGAGCTCTACCTGCCTGCATCTCATGAACCCTGCCTGTCAGAAGGACACCTGCAGGTCACTGGAAGGGTGGAGCCTGAAACAAGGGGGACGTTCAGGCTTCTCCCTGGAGCTGTGCCCCAGCTGTGGACCTGGATGTGGCCCCTATCTCAGAGTCCCCTGTCCTTCAACACACCTGTCTGAGCACCTCTGGCTGCAAGCCCACGGATATAAGGCTTCGTGGTGCACAGCACCCCCCACCAAAGGCTTACAGTCTAGAACAGGAGGCAGAAAATGAAAAGGACAGATAAGATGAACCAAGGGAGGCTTCACTGTACAAAGGAGCTGGGGTTGGTGCTGCAGGAGTGCTTCCGGAAGAATCATCAGAATGGCGACAGGGCATGCTGTGCCCTCAGTCTGTGGAAGCAGTTCAGTGGGCACCACACGTGCCTGCAGGACGCTCTGGAGTGTCACCAAGGAGCCGTGAGCTCTGGTGGCGGAGTAAGCAAAGGAGGTGCAGGCAATGGGAAGAACCCTGCTTCAGATCTGTGGGAGCCCAGGCTGTTCACCCCTGACCCAGGAGCTCTCCTCTCAGGAATCTATCATCAAACAATCCCAAAGTCATCAAAGCCTTAGTCAGAAGGATGCTCACAGCTGTGTGTGTGACAGTAAACCCTAGTGACAGCCCCAGAGCCTGCAGGAGGGTTTGGCTGCAGGACGCAACATCCCACAGGCTTAAAAAATCCCATCCTTGATATATGCCTTTACTTTTTGACCAAACAATCCCACTTCTAGGAATGCACCCCGAAGATCACCAGCAAAAGCGTGCATGACGAAGAATGGAAAGCAGTCCCGCACTACCAGTTATTCCCAACCAGTCAGGAGGTGGGGACCGTCTCAGGATGACAGGAAGCTGCAGAGAAAGCATGCAGAGCGTGCATCCTGCTGCCCAGGGTGGGAGGAAGATGCGTGCGTGTTTGCTCATGGTTTGTAAATGCAGAGATAAAGCCATAGAAACGACCACTACCAATATGGGAGGATCCCAGACGCAAGAGGGAGGGTGGAAGCTGGGCTCCTGTAAGTGGGCCTTGTTGGCCAGAGTTGATTCAGAAAAATACTGGTTTTTTATATAATTATAAAACAAAATTAAAGCAAGATTTTAAAAACAGAATCCTGAAAAATGAAAGCATAATAAGACAAGTGACTGTAGCTCTATATCCAGGGTTGGACTAGGACACAGAGAGGAATTATTTCCTGTGATCTGATTCCACGTCCCTGGTGGGCTGAGCCAAGGAAGCTTGAACCATGTCATTGCTGTGACACCGGTAATAGTTCTGTGCTGTTATTCTGAAGCCCTTATACATGTTTGATGAGGTAACACAAATAAGAAATTTTATTAATGGTTAAAACCAACATTTTTAGGACTAAGGGAAAAGATATGTAAATACAACATCATAGCTGTTGGGTAAGAACCCTGTACTCCCTAAATTGGAACTGGAAATATCATTATGAACTGATGCAATCTTTTCTCATGTTAAAAAAAGCAAAATGTATTTTCTGGATCTGCAACTGAAAAGGCCTAAAATGACAACTGCCCAGTGCAGTCCTCTGCACCCAAACTGTGGTTCCTAAATCTCACATCCACTAAAGGAGCCTATGGGCCGGGGTCCAGGGAGGGAAGTGCAGGGATGCGCCTGGAACACCTGTGTAAGCGGAGTGAGAAAACTGCCAAGACCCGCTGGAGTCAGACGCAATTCCAAGAGCTCAACTGACATGCCCCCTTGACCAACGGGGCGCCACAAGGCATGACCACGATGACCGGAACACACCGGTCTTAAAATCCATGAGTGTATAGACACAGAAAAGCTAGCCTCTACTGCCCACCATCGAAGTCATTAGGAAATCAGGTTACAGTGTCCTGCAAACTCGTAAAGGAAGGTAAATGATCAAGTGTTAGCACGCCTTCCCATGCTACCTCAAAGGAACCAAATCATTGATGAAGGGCTTTTTAAATAAAAGAAACCTAGTTAAAAAATGAAGGAGGCATAATAGAAGGCCACTGTCCTGCACCTTCTAATGAGGTGAGAGCGCTAGACAATAACCGCCCATATTTTCTAAAACCACCAGCAGAAAGAGGGATGGGGTCATTGTACAGGTGGAACGAGGCTCTCACGAGCACCCGCTGGCCGCTCCTGCCATCACTCCACACAAACAGATGTGCGACTCAACATGACTTCTGACAAAGATGCAAGGGCCAGGCAGTGGAGACGCGGTGGGGTCTTCAGCCAAGGGCCCAGAACAGCCAGTATCCGCACATGAAGGGGACCCTGCTCCAGGTGACACACAAAAATTAACTCAGAATGGATCACAGCCCTGAAGGTGGGCATGAGAACCGTAAAACATGGGAGAAACACAGAGGAAATCTTCGTCACCTTGGGTTAAGCAAAGATTTCTTATCTAGGACACAAAACAAGATGTAGGAAAGAAAAATGATGTTGAATCTCATCACAACATCTCCAAATCTGCTTGATGAGAGACACTGTTAAGAAATGAAGAGGCCGCCACTGGGAGAAAGTATTTGCCAGTCACGTACTGTTGGGGATCCAGAGAGATAACTCGGTGACTCTATATGATCACAAACCACCAAGTTAAAAATTGAGTGGGACATTAATGCTGGACCCCGGGGACGGCCATTCCACCACAGAAGATGCGCAGATGCGAATGAAGGACCCGAAGACAGTGCGCCATACACGGCCAGCAAGTTGGCAGATCCAGGCTGTAACGAGGCACCACGGAGGACCCGTAGGGACGGCTGCACGTTTTTAAAGAACTGACAACACCAAGTACTGACAAAGATGTGAGGCATCTGGCACTTTTGTATTTGATAGTTGAAATGGAAAACAGCACAGCCACATTGGAAAACCATTTGGCAGTTCCTTATAAATTTACCATACACTTAACATATGACCAGCAACACCACTTGTCGATATTTATATCTAAGGGAAAATAAGGACACATGGGCATGTGAAGATTCGCAGTCAGATGTTCCCAGCAGCTTTTTCATAGTAATCAAAAACCAGAAAGAAATCAATAAAAAATTTGCATTATATCCACACAGTGGAATATTGCCCCATAGGAAAAGGCAATGAAGCACTGAAACATGTAAAAACATGTATGACTCTCAAAGGAATCATGCCTTCAGCCAAAGAAATCAAACAGTGAACATGACATACTGTATGATTTCATTTATATGAAATTACAGAAAAGGAGAAACTACAGTGATAGGAATAGATGAGCAGTTGTTAAGGGTTGGCGGGGACTGACTCTGGGAGCAGCAGGGGATTTGGGAGGATGATGTTTACACACACACACACACAGCCACATGACATGGCACACACACTTACAAAACATATGTGCACATATCACATGTGTGCACATTCACACAATGCACCCCAAAACCCATATATATGTGAGTGCATATATACATAAATATGTGTATATATACATGTTTATAGTAGCTTTATTCATAATCTCCATAAACTAGAAGCAACCCAAATATCTGTCTGCTGGGCAGCGGATAAGCCATGGTATAGAAAATGCCTCAGCTGTGAGAACGAAGAAGTTCATGGTCCACGCCACACAGATGACCTCAAATGCGCTTTGCTAAGTGAAAGGCACCAGACTTGTAAGCCTATATATTGTGCCATTTCATTAATATGATAATCAGGCCAAGGCAAAATTATACGCAACGGACTGGCCAAGAGCTGGGGTCAGGAGAGGCCTGTTACAGGGGGCGCAGGGCAGGACTTGGGGGCAGGGAGCTGTTCTGTACGGTGATGGCAGTCACACAGCCCTCTGCTTGTCAAGACTTTCGGAGCTGTATGCTCAAGTGGCGGGGGGGTTACTGAAATTTACACTGATGAGATAAAGGGGGAAAAGGTATTTGTATATGCAAAACCAGGAAGGTTCCTCAGAACAAAAGGCAAGTTTCAAAAAAGTGTATGCGCATGACGAGTTTATAGTAACAAAGTTAATATTTGCAGTGCGTATTTTCTTTAAGGGATGTCCAATAACTCGCTAAATTCCCACCCTACTCTGGAAACAGGGTAGTGAAGAGACTTTCACCATCTTCTCATCCTCTGGTATCTTCTTTCCATGGACCCCATTACTGGTACTATTATAATCATTAAAAATAAGACAGCTCCTTCTTGTTAAACAAATAAGCTTCCCCAGAACCTAAACGTCTTTCTGTCCATGGCCTGAGCGCACAGGGGCCCCTCACCTGGAAGAGGCTTGTCTTTAGGTACATGGTGCCGTAGCCTTCTCGGCAGCTGAGGTAAAACATGCCCGTGAAACTGGAGCCATCTGGCCACACGTAGGTGCCCAGGCCATGGCAGTGATCCCGGTAAAACTGCCCGCGGTAGGACTGTGGGCAGAGAGCACAGTAACATATCCCACCTGAGAGCTGCTCCTCACCTCTTCCAGGAAGCCCTCCTAGCTGAGTCAGTATGCAGGGAAGGGGGGCCTGGGGCCTGGGGGCTGCTTCAGGCCTCACAGGGTGCCTCCATGTTGGGGTGACTGATGTGACTATTAGAGGCGGCCACTCCATCTCGCAGAGTGGGTGCCAGGCGGCCAGCCCTCAGTGGCCACGCTCCCTCCTGCCCCATCTCCGGTGGAGGCGTGGGAGGCACCATGACACCCAGATACCCTGAGTCAACACAGGAAGGGCTGTGACCCTATCAGTGCCCCTGGGCTTGGGCCTGGGCCTGCCTCCCTCAGGAGCCCTGCGCAGGCCCCGCTCCCACCTCACCCAGCTGCTGCTCAGACTTACTGGCAGCAGGCAGGTCCAGGGAGGCCTTGGGGTGACCCGTGCGACCCTGGGGACAGGCTGGGCCTGGATGGGAGCATGGGTGTGGCTTTGATTCAAAACTCCTCCGTTCTGAGGCCATGGAGGGGGAACTCTACCTGTGCTGCTGTCCCGAGCCCCGCAGACGCCAGGGGCTGGCCCGACAGAGGCCGCCCCTCCACCGGGGCCCCTGGAGGGAAAGTCACACCACGTCCATCCCAAGCACTTCCCCATTGCTAGGCTTGACTTCCACGTGTGTTAGACAGCAGCCTTCCACCAGGAGGCTGGGGCGGGCCCTCTGCTGACCACCCGTGCCCGCAGACCACAGGCGTAGTCAGCTCAGCACAGGCGTAGGCCCCTGCCACCCCGGCCTCTGTCCTGGCCGTGGTGCACACTCCAGGCAGGGACTGGGTGGGGGACGGGGTGGGGGAGTGGCGCTCTACCAGCAGCTGCACCTGCCCCTCTGCCCACCATTGCCCAGGCTCCGCCCCAAGGCCCCTGCTGGCCTCCTCACCCGGCTCTCCTCTGGCAAGCTCACCCGCCCGTGGCTCAACCATCACCCATAAACCACACACCCAGCCCTGGCCTCTCCAGTGAGTCCAGGCCCCAGCTGACCCCTGCCCCAGGGTCTGTGGAATGCAGTGCCCTAATGGGGCACCTGCCTGACTCACACAGCACCCACACTGGGGAAATCTGCCCCCACAAAGAGCAGGTGCCACAGCTATCAGCATCTGCCTCCACCCTGCCCCAGGTCGCAGCTGCCCGGACAGAGAACATCCAACCGAAACTGAGCCAAAGACACTTTCATGCAACTTTGGAATTGGGGCTGAGAGACCCTAATTCCATCGAGGCTGTTTCTTGAACTTTGGAGACTAAGCCAGGAGGTGAGGGGCTGGGCGAAGTACCCCAGCCTTGGGCACCAAAATAAAAACACCAGGGCCCCAGGGAGAAGAGAGGAGCAGAGCTGAGGCCTCACATGGCACCTCCCAGAGGCCTCTGGTGCCAGGCACCTTCCTGCCACGCGTTTTTACAACCCTACATACCCCCCACATCGCCGCACAGTCTATCATTTGCAAGCAAAAGCTGCACCCAAGTCAGCTGAGCCAGGGCGGCAAAAAGCAGACCCCACCTGGTGCAGGGAGCCTCTGGCTGGCCCAGACACATCACCGGGAAGTCCCTCGGGGAGTGGGCCCTGGAGGCGGCTTACCTCGCCAGTTGGCCAGGAGAACTCGCCATATCCCAGCTTCGTGTCCAGACCGAACTCCCCTTGGTAGACACAGCCGTCCCGCCACTCCTGCACACCATGGACAGGCTGCACACAGGCCCCCTGCAGGTCCTGCACCCTGAGGGGGCCCTTGGGCTCCTCCTCCTCCCCCAGGGCCTCTGGGCCACCCCTGGGAAGAAGAAGGCCAATGCTGAAGAGCCAACCCTGCACACCATCGCATATCGGCCTCCCGACAACCGCGAGGCACATGCTCTAACTATCCCCATTCTCGAGAGAGGGAAACTGAAGCCCAGAGGGTGCAGCCATGGCCCAGGCCCACACAGGAAGCATAAGCACGGTAAGTGGGTGACCCCATGTCTCACAAGGGCAAAAGGCTGCCAGCGCCCAGGAGGCAGGACCCAGTAGCCCTCTCCGGCCCTGGGCTGGCCCCGCTCCCTGGAACCTGACAGTCGCCCCACTCCAACTGTTTGCTGGGAAGCCTTGTCCCCTCCACCAGCCCAGAGTGTCCAGCAGGGTCTTCTCTCAGGACCCAGCAGCACCCATCCGGAGCTGGGCAGGAGGCCGACACTTGGCAGACGCGCGTGGACCGGTGAACGGTCTAGCAAGGAGAGGGAGCTTCGGGCCAAGGGATGATCCAAGAGCAGCGTGGGGGGCAAAAAGCTGACTGGTAAGATGGACAGTGGGTGGACAGGCACAGGGATGGTGGGTGCAGAGCGAGGGGCACAGAGCATGCACCAGGTGGGCCTGCCTTCCTGTGGTCACTCCCTCACAGAACTAATCCTGACTTACAGAGGACCCCACCCCCCGGCCCCATCACACACACACCCGCCTCTCTCTCAACTCTAAGTGCTCTCTACGGGGACTGCCTGTGGGTGTCTCCGGTCTGCAGACCTGGGCCCTGTCACACTCTGCGCCCCCTCCACCAGCTGTGAGCCCCGGAGGCTTAGCAGGGCACCTGCCTGACAAAGAAGGGCCTTGGCTGCTCAAACACAAAAATCTCTTTTGCCTTGTTGTTACATTTCCGCAAAAAGAAGGCAGGAAGGATGCCCACATGCAATGACAGTAGGGTTTGAGGACTCAGATTTGGTTCATTTTTTGTTTGTTTGTTTGCTTGCTTGCTTGCTTGCCTGTGGTTATGGGTCACACTGTGACCCCCACCCAAATTCATGTTGGAGTCCAATGAGACTGGTGTGCTTCTAAAGGGGGGACATTTGGACTCAGAGAAGGGCACAGAGAGACCGCAGGAGTCACAGGGAGAAGACAGTGTCTACACGCCCAGGAGAGAGGCCTGGACCAGATGGCCCTCACGGCCTCGGCAGAACACTGCCCACGCCTGGACCTTGGGATTCCAGCCTCCAGAACAGGGAGACGCTACATTTTTGCAGTGACTCTGGGTGGCCAGACGTGTTGAAGCCACCCAGTCTGTGCTTTGTCACAGCCCTAGCAAACTAACACACCAGTGTATTCTCATTTTTCTGCATGACATAGATACTATTTAATTTTAAAATGAGGGGGAAAGAAAACTGACCATGAGAATGAGGGACATGGAAATGATTCTGAGGTCAAGCAGGAAAAGCACTGATACAGCCCATTGGCTGTAGGACCCACTGCAGGGTCACTGGCCATGGCCAGCTGGCAAGGCAGGCGAGGGCTGGACCACCTGACTCTGCCACCCGACAGGTTCCTTACCCCCTGTGACTCCGTTTCCTCAGGTGTAAAATGCGGACTATGCCAGCCTGCTCGGGCTGACATCACAAAGCATGGCCGACTGGGGGCCTGAACTTCAGACATTTGAAGCCGGACATCAGGATCACGGCGGCTGCAGACTTGGCCCAATGAAGGCCACTTCCTACACACACACACACACACACACACACACACACACACAGGCAGAGGGAGGGAGCTGTAACACACACACACACAGGCAGAGGGAGGGAGCTATAACACACACACACACATACACACACAGGCAGAGGGAGGGAGCTGTAACACACACGCAAACACACACACACCCCTCCGGCCCAGAGGCAGAGGGAGGGAGCTGTAGTCTCTTCCCCTTCCCAGAGGGGCACTAATCTCACCCTGTGGCTCCATCTTCACGATAGCATCCAGGCTTCACTGACCTCCGAAAGCCCCCATCCCTAACACAATCACCTGGGGGCAAGGGCTTCAACATACCAATGTCGGTAGGGGGAGGGGCAGACAGTTCAGTCCAGTCCGTAACAGGCACGAATACTCTGGGGTCACAGGGCGGGTTTTATGAGATGTCAGGGCAAGGCTCTGAGGGCAGCACCTGGCCCAGAGGAGGCCTGTGATGTGTCCGCTCCAGCCTTGAAGGTGCTGCGCCCCTTGGCAGCCCCCATGGTGTAAAGCAAATGCTGCCAGGGTGTCAGGAGGTGCCAGGCCAGTTAGTGTAGTTTCCCACGGTGGCTGCGATACAGTGTTGAGGCTTTTCTATTTCTCCAGAGACTAGAGTTTTGAGGGGTAAAATGACTTCGCGATTTTTAAATCCCTGCTGCGGTGCTGGATCCCAGCTAAGTCTAGTCCCTGTGCCAAGGTCTGGCCTTCCTGCAGAAGGGTTCCCGCACCTAGAGACGGAGAACCTGGGGCTCCGCAAGGCCCGCCGCTCCTCGGCGGCAGCAGGCTGGCCGCCGCTCCCCTCCAGCTGGCCTTCCGAGGTGGACTATCTGGGCCTTCGTGATAGGAGGCTGAGGAATAATCACCTTCCACGTCTCACGTCTGGAAGCCAAGCCAGGGACCCACATTCGCCGGCAGGGCCCCGGGCTGGCTCCTGAGACCCCGCCCACAGCCCCATCAGCCTCGAGAAACGAGGCCTCCTCCCCTCACCCAGTCGACGCCCCCGGAGCTGTTGAAACGACCCCCCTGCGGAAACCTTCGCCAGCACCCCGAGGGTGTCCTTCTCTTCCGTGGGGAGGACACACAGGGAGGGACTTCGGGCACCCTCCCAAGACCTCGTTAGGGCCACGTCTAGGGTCAGTTCTGCCCTGGTCAGTGCCCGAGGCGGGGCAGAGAGCAGGCGCCCCCTTTCCCCGCGGGCCTCGGACACGGTCTCGCCCAACCCCGCACTCACGGCCTCCCACGCACATCGGGTCCCAAATCCCCGGCCCCCACCACGCAAACACGGTGCCCAGGGTACCCGGCCCGCGCACACGCTCCACCGCCGTCCCCGCGGACCTCCCCCGGGGCCGCGCCGAGGTTGGAGGGCGCACACACGGCGTACCCGCTCCGCGGGGCTCGCAGCTCTGCTCGCCCAGCGCCGGGAGCGTCACGTTTCCCTGGAGACCGGCCGCCCACGTGCCCGGGCCCCTGCCAATCCCCGCGCCCGGCCTTCCCAGGCCCCGCCCCCTCCCGCCCCGAGCACCGCTCTGTGACCTCACAGGGCCCCGGCCCCGCGCCCCGCCGAGCCCCCCGGCCGTCAGCGAGAGCGTGCGACCGCACCTCGGACGCCCACCTGGGTGTCCTGCAGAGGACGGCGGGCCAGCCCCGGGCCCAGGGCTCCGCGCGCCGAGGACCGCGCCGAGGAGCGGGAGGCACAGAGGTTAATGAACGTGCCCAGGTCACGCGCTCCACGCGGAGGGCCGGTACGTGATTGAGCTCCGACTCCAAAGCCGGGTTCCGCCGGTTCATAAATGTTCGGATGGCAGAGAGGGGGAGCTCGTGGTCTGCAGGGGGCACAAAGCGAGGCAGGGGCCCGAAGTCGCTGGGAGAGGATTAACTGCGTAGACGGAGGGGCCCCTGGAGAGGACTCCTGAATAGGGCTCCGGAGAACGCACAGGGGCTCTCCCAACAGAACACACTCCAGGGAACTGGACTTGCCGGTGGTGGGAAACAGCAAAAGGAGGTCCTGCAACTGCAGCCATGGGGGCTTCCGGGAGAGAGAGGGGCTCTCTGCAGGTCTAGGGCTTGGGGGTCTCAAGCCAGACTGCCCCTCGTAACAAGGGGAATGGGATTTGAAAGCCGATGCTCAGTCCCTCCCTCCCCCACCGCCTAGATGTGCAGGGACCGAGGGCGCTTCCTCTACCCCATCTCACTGTCTGTTCCCCAATCACCTCTCCCCACCCCTTGGAACCCACTCTGGTTCCTGGATCCCAAATCTCTGGACCTCTTGTCCTTCCTTCCCAGGTCCCCTGTCTGTCCTGCTCTCTCCAGCTACAGCTTGGGAAGCAGCAGCGACAAACTGAGCTGTTTTAAACTTGTTGGGAAAAGAAGAAAAACGGTCAAACGTGTTAAACCATACCACCTGTTGTGGGTTGAATGGTGTCCCTGTCCCCCAAAAAGGTTAAGTTGAAGTCTTACCCCAGTTCTGTGAATGACCTTATGTGGAAATAGGGTCTTTGCAGATGTAATCAAGAGGCCACGCTGGGTAGGAGTGTGCCCTAAACCAAATAACTGGCGTTCTTATAAAGAGGGGGCGTGGGAGACCAGAATCCAGACGGAAGGGGCGACAGCACTCTTAAGTCACCTGGTTTGTGGTGCTTTGTTACAGTAACTCTAGGAAAATACTGTATTTTCCAGTATGAGTGACTAAACAATAGCTAAAATACAACTATGGCAAATCTGACAATTTGGGGAGATTGGCAAGACAATTTTAAATATAAAAATGTGGCCAAAAAAAGAAAAGGTGTTTTATAAACTGGAGAAAATGCAATGTGAAATGCTGAAATTTTCCTTTATTCATAAGAATATATGCATTGATATTTTAAAAATCAGGTGTATGGAGATTAAAAAGCCCTTTTTCTACAAACTGAAAAAAGTCCTACATTGACACTGAAGATGTTCAAAAGAATGTTTCCATAGTAATATATTGTTAACTGACATATTCAAGAATATTCCTTTTATGAGTCATTGATGAATTGGTAAGCTTGGTAAATTCAGATTTAACATACATCTCTAGGATGGCTGGCTTTAGGCAAATTAGCTGCCCCTGTTGGCAGTCAGTGTTTGCAAACCTGAAAACACCAGCTGAGCCTGTCATTGTTATGAAATGTAAAAAACAGCTGAGGAAGTGTGCATGGGGGAGTGGCATGTCTATTAAAATTCAGTTAAAAGCTTTGCAAAGTCAACAAAAAAGGTCAGTTAAAAACTGCAGTCAAATAGAACTCAGGTAAGCACTGTAAAAGATTGCAGGAAAATCAATTTAAAAGTCCGAAAGGATTCCGCCTAGAGATTGCTTCTCAAGTGCCTTTAAGTTCTATGAAGGGTACGAACAATCCAGAAAGCACAGCCAGGCACTGAGCACCGCTAAGGGCAACACCTTGGCTGACCCACAGCTGAGATGCTGCCAGAGGAAAGTGCGTGGACGTGCGTGTGTGTGGTTAAGTCAAAACCCAATGTGTAAGGTGAATGGGTAAATTTTTTTTGGCCCTCCTGATTTAAATGACTGTAGATTGACTAAATGATGGGTTCAGAATTCTCATGTATCAGAATCATGTGGTGAGCATGGTAAAAGCTTCCTGGGTTCCACCCCCCAGTTTCTGATTCAGCAGGACAGGGGTGAGTCAGAATTTGCATTCTTACCAAGTTCCCAGCTGCTGCTGCTGAGATGTGGGCTACACTTTGAGAACCACTGGCATATGGTGAGGTGGGCAAGTGGAACAGAGATTATTCTATAGAGGGACTGGGCAGATGGGGTGCCTTGAATGACAGATTAAACACAAGCAGCAGCAAGACATTTTTAAGCAGGAGGACGATGCTGTCAGATGCATGCTTTGTATCTGAGGCTTTCAAGACTTTCTGCCTGGGGCCCACCACAAGACCCCACTTTATATCATGACCCGGTACAAACATAACTCAAAAAATTTCAATGAAAAGTTCTCTCTGCTGCATGCATGCATATTAGTATTTTCATGCATCCAATTCTTTTCAATACCATTTCCACAAAATAATACTAGTCATGACCGACAAAACTTATTTCACAAACCACTAATAGATCATGACTTGCTAATGAGTAGGGACAGATATTGAGAAAAGCAAGGCTTCAGAAAGCCCATTCTGGCTGCAGTGAGGAAGCTGGAGGGCAGGCCCCCCCTCAGGAGGCTGTACCAAGCCCAGAAGGTGACCCAAAGTAGATGGAGCAGTCACGGTGGAGAGGATGTATTTGAGACACTTAGGGTGACTTGTTACCATTCATTAGCTTGCTGGGGTAAAGGAGTGTGAGGCTTTGGGAGAGAAAACCTACCCCAGACATCCTCCAGCAAGCCCAGAAATAGGAATGCCTTCAGGTTTGGTTTGACTCAGTGGCCCAATGTCACCAGGGTCTGTTTCTTCCACCACTGCTCTCACCTAAGCCTGGCTTCCCCTGTGGTCGTAAGGGGAGAGCAGAGCCTTCCAAGCACCTCTCCTCCTTGGTTCCTACTCCCACCCTTTCCTGAAGCACTCACAGGGTAGGGGTTTCACTGACTGGCTGCAGGTAATCAGGGCCGGCTGTGGAGTTGGGGGACAGGCAATCTCCACCTAATTGAACGGCTCCTATCAACTCTGAGGAAAATGGGAATTTCATTCCCCAATCCCAGGAAAGTCAGTCCTCAGGGCAGAGGAAGGAAATGGATGCTGGGAAGGCTTCCGTGTAGGTGATGTCTGGATCTGCCCAGGTCAAGACCTGGCAGCAAACTGGTATTTCACTCGGAGCTCAAGAGGGAGATCCAGGTCGCAGTTAAGATCTGACAGTTACCCAGTTTGGCGGCTGCTGCTAGAATGGAGAGAATCAGGGTCACCCACAGAAACTGTAAAGGTATAGTTTGTCAAATTCAATGGGGGTGGGGGGTGGGAAGCAGAGAATAATTTCTGGTAGAATGGATTGCAAATCTTAGGTAAACAATGGAGATTAATAAAAAATGGTTTTACTATTATTAGAATAAAGCTGAAACTACAATTATAATGTGTGCAGGGTTGCAAGCCAGTTACTTTTCACTGAAACATTATCCTGAAAGAGACCCGACATCAAAAAAGTCTATGGAAGAGGTCTACTTAAATGGCAGCTGTGCGGACAGTAAGCGATATCAATTTTTTTAAGTTACAATAATGACCCGAAAATTAATAATTAAGAAAAAAAATACTGGTCTACGGAGAAATGATGAAAAGTTATCGGTAGTTTTACTTTGTATGAGCCTCGTTTTACAATAAAAGAGCACAGTATTAGCAAGCAGACAAGGAACGATCACAAAGCTGTACTTAAAGACGCCTCAAACGGCAATGCAGTCATAGGACTTAAGAGGCGAAACCAGGAGACCTACACGCAACGCTACAGAGGGCATGGCCAGAGCCCCGATGAGAATGTCAGGCCCTTCCACTCGGCAGCCACAGCTGGAGGAGCCCTGCTGCCGCGGCTTGGCTCCTGGGTCAGGGATGCTAAACCCGGGCGCAGGGACCTGCACCTGCAAGCCCGCTCTGGCAGCCGAGGCAGGTAAGAAAGCTCCCCGGCCCCGCCCAGCCCCTGCGGCCAATCCGACTCTCCCAGCGGCCAGGAGTCCAACCAATGGCTGCCCTTCCTATGCGCAGCCAATCGGAGGAGAGGCGTCGCTCGGCCTGGCAAATGAGGGGGCAGCCAGGGCCCTGCGGGAGGGCACCGCCAGATGCGGCGGCCCTCCGAGGCCTCTAGGACCCGGGGGCGCCCACCGGGACGCCAGGACGCCCTAAACTGACAACGGCGCCGGGCGCCCGAGCGCCGGTCATGGATCCGGGACAAGCCAGCATCCGCGGGGCCGCCCAGCCGGCCCCGCCGCTGTTTGCGCGCGTCGCCCCTTCACTCTTCCTAGGGAGCACGCGCGCCGCGGCAGCGTCGGACCTGCTGGCGCGCGCGGGCGTCACCCTGTGCGTCAACGTCTCGCGCCAGCAGCCCGGCCCGCACGCGCCCGGCGTGGCCGAGCTGCGCGTGCCCGTGTTCGACGACCCGTCCGAGGACCTGCTGGCGCACCTGGAGCCCACCTGCGCCGCCATGGAGGCCGCGGTGCGCGCCGGCGGCGCCTGCCTCGTCTACTGCAAGAACGGCCGCAGCCGCTCAGCCGCCGTCTGCACCGCCTACCTCATGCGGCACCGCAGCCTCAGCCTGGCGCAGGCCTTCCAGGTGGGGCGGGGCGGGCCTGGGAGCGACTTCCGGGGCGGGCCTTCCGGCGGGCGGGGCGCGCGGGGCGCGCGGGGCGGGGTGATTCCCGGCGCTGTGCGACCTGAGCCTCTGGTTCGCAGGCGGTGAAGAGAGCCCGCCCCGTGGCCGAGCCCAACCCGGGCTTCTGGGCTCAGCTCCGGAAGTACGAGGAGGCCCTGCGGCCCCTGCCCCGGGAGCCCTCGGGAGGAGACGCGCTGCGGGGCGAGCCCTAAGGCCTCAGCCGCCGGCCCCCAGCCCCACAGCGGGGCGCGGCGCTTCCCGCGGGCGTTCCGTCCTTCCTCGCTGCCACGCGGGCGTCCCCATTTTCCGCATCTTCCTGAAATGCAGCGGGACGGGGTCTTCGGAGACCGTCCCACCCCTGGTGGGCAGGCTTATGGGACAGGATTTGGTCGGGAAAATCAAAACCGCTTGAGGAGTTTTAGGCAGAAAGGCATCTAATACCAAGGGGTCAAGGCCGGGGAGACAAGGTCAGGAGAGGCCGCAGGAGTCAAAAGACCCACCGACGCTGGCCGCCACTGTGAAGTGGGCAGCCTGGCGGACGCCTGCGGCCAAGCCCCAGCCTGCCACCAGCTGGAGCCGTGTGGCTTTGCGCAGCCTTCACAGCGGTCCGGTCTCAACCCAGCCGGGATCCAGCGGAGAGTCCGCGGCTTCCAGACTTGCAGCTGCCGCCCAGGGTGCAGGGCCACGTGACAGGCCGCCCAGCATGGGCGCGGCTGGGGCTCCCAGCGTCCAGCATCCCACGGCCACCCTCACGCCAATGATGCCCCGGCCCGCAGTGCCTCTGAGCGTGTGGATTCCTTCTCTGGTGTAGACGCATCTCACCTGGATCCCATGGCCTAAAGACTACTAGAAAATCATCATCGTCAGCATCCCCTAAATAAGGTAGTGGGGAAAGCAAAAGGGAAAAACTGGGCAACACATGTAAATTACAGAAACTACAGTCCCTTGTTTATACGTACAAATACAGACAAGGTGATTAATAAAATGCTGTGGCTGGTGTTTATCATTTCCCTTTTCCTCTGCTCGCTGTTCCCTCACTGGTCCAGGTCTTTCCTGATGGGGTGATGAGCCTATCCTGAAGGGCCCTGATGGCCCTGCCTGCTTTGGTGCTGGGGCCTCCATCTCCTCTCCCACGACCCAGGAGTACTGGGAGGCATCAGGGTGTCCTGACTTCAGTGCCCTCCTCCCGGCCCACTGAAGAGCAGCAAAGCCCAGCTCCTGGGAGTCAGGATCGGTCACTCCTATGCAATGTGCCTGAGGAGCCCCAAACAGCTATGTGGTGGGTGGCTCGGCCTCCTGTCCCAGGGAGCACATGTCCGGGGCGGAAAGCACCCTTCCTGGGAAGGGAGGACCCAGCAGAGCCTGACACTGTGCGGTTTCTGGCTGTGTAGGAGCACCTCCATCATAGGTACCGGGGATTGCATCGAAGACTCAGGAGAGGGGCGAGGAGTTTGATCGACCCTGCAACAACCTGAATTCTTATGTGAGGACATCTCGGTGGCCCGTCTCAAGCCACGGGTCCAAGAATCCACCTGCTACTTGCTGACTGGGCGTCCTTGCTGGTCTGCAGCCCTCTGCTCTGCGCCCAGACCCCTGGACAGGCCCAGGCAAGGTGGGATGGGGCAGGTAGGATATGTTACTGCCTCAGCACTCACCTCCTAAATGATGTGTGCTCCAGGACCCTGCCGGCCCTTAAAGGAAGCACCGTCCCACACTTTCTGCAGTGATGGAAGGTCGACTCTGTTCCGTACAGTTGCCACTGAGCTACACACTACCCCCACCAGCACAGAGACCACCTTTATGGCTAGTGCAACCGAGTGGCTAGTGTTACTATATTTAATAAAAACCTAAACAGCCACACAAGGTTAGTGGCTACCTTAGGTGACAGCACAGCCCTGAGGCTCCACATGGCCCACCACACAGACCACTGGTCTCAATGGGGCACTGGCTGCGGGCATTTGAGAATCATTCCCTAATCCCAGGACCTGAGCCCACCGAATGGACGAATAACTGAGGTTACACTTCCCGGGAAGCAGAGACCACAGGGAGAGGTGGCCACTGCCACACTGTGGGTAAAATTGTAATATTTCCAGAATATCTTGCCTGGCTTTAGTACATCTGTATATCAACAAGCGTTGGGAGGTGGAAAGAGGTATGGCTTCAGGGCATTTGCGTCATTCCTCAGGGGTGGAGAGAAGGTCATCTCCCTATCAGTGGGTAATTACCTGGGCAAGGAGGGCTTATCTGTGCCTGAGAGGGGAGGGGAGGGCCGGATATTTCCAGAATATCTTGCCTGGCTTTAGTACATCTGTATATCAACAAGCGTTGGGAGGTGGAAAGAGGTATGGCTTCAGGGCATTTGCGTCATTCCTCAGGGGTGGAGAGAAGGTCATCTCCCTATCAGTGGGTAATTACCTGGGCAAGGAGGGCTTATCTGTGCCTGAGAGGGGAGGGGAGGGCCGGCTTTGCTTCTGCTGGAGCAGGAAAGAGAGAAGGGCCTGGACTGCAGTTTGTAAGCAATAAATAGGTTTTAAACTTTATTTCTCCTTTCGACTGATTTCGGTTTTAGAGGTATTTTGCCCTGGGATTTCCTCTCCCCGGACTTAACACACACGCACCTACCAGGCAGCGTCCCTGGAGGCCGGTGCTCCAGCTCCTGGGGTCGGCGGGTGCAGGCCGGGTAGGAAGCGCACAGGGTTTGGAAGACCAATGGGGCGCGCGGCGCATCCAACTCTAGTGCGCCCGGTCCCCAACTTACAAGGTCCCCAGGTCCCTGGCCCTGCGCGCACTGAACCCCCGGCTGTCGGTCCCCGCCGCGCACGGCACCCGGAGCTCCCCAGGCCCCGGCGCGCCGCGCCGCCTGCACCCGCTCCCAGCGCACAGCGCCTCAGCACCCGGGACCCACGCTCACAGAGGCCTGGCACCCTGCCGTCCCGCGAACAGCGCCCGGGCTCCGCGCACAACACCCCCGGCCCCCAAGTCCCCGCGCACAGCGCCCCCGGCGGCGGCCGAGCGGAGGCCGAGCGGGGCGGTGCACGGCGCGGGGCCGGGCCGGGCGGCTCCCGGCGCGACTTCCTGTTGTGCCCGCGCCCCGCCGCCGCCGCCGCTGCCGCCGCCGCCGCCGCTGCCCGGCGCCCCTCGCCCGCTCCCCGCGACCTGGCGCGGCCGCCGCCCATGGATTTCACCTAGCGGGGGCGGCCATGGCGGCGCAGTGCTGCTGTCGCAAGGCGCCGGGTGCCGAGGCCGCGCCCGCACGCCCGCCGCCCGAGCCGCCGCCCGCCCTGGACGTGGCCTCGGCCTCCAGCGCGCAGCTCTTCCGCCTCCGCCACCTGCAGCTGGGCCTGGAGCTGCGGCCCGAGGCGCGCGAGCTGGCCGGCTGCCTGGTGCTCGAGCTGTGCGCGCTGCGGCCCGCGCCCCGCGCGCTCGTGCTCGACGCGCACCCGGCCCTGCGCCTGCACTCGGCCGCCTTCCGCCGCGCCCCCGCCGCCGCCGCCGCCGCCGCCGCCGCCGCCGAGCCGCCCTGCGCCTTCGCCTTCGCCGCCTCCGGGCCCGGGCCCGCGCCCGCGCCGCCGCAGCCCGCCTTCCCCGAGACGCGCGGCGCCGAGCCCGCCTGCTGCCCGCTGGCCTTCAGGGTGGACCCGTTCACCGACTACGGCTCCTCACTCACCGTCACGCTGCCGCCGGAGCTGCAGGCGCACCAGCCCTTCCAGGTCATCCTGCGCTACACCTCGACCGACGCCCCTGCCGTGAGTCCCGCAGGGTGGGCGCGGGGCTGTGGGGCTGCTCGTGGGGCGGCGTCTTCAGGCAGCCTCCCCGCGCTGCCAGGCCAGGGGTCATTAGTATGCGCTTTGCGCTTTGGGCAGGTGATCTGAGCCTGGGGCACCTGCCGAAAGGACGGGGCCAGCCTGGCCCTGGAGAGGCCCTGGCCTTGAGCCTGGCATTACCCCACATGGCCCTGGAGTCCTGTCCAGGTGCGTCAGCGATTCCCAGCCGGTGCTAGGACGTCCTTTGGAGCCCGCAGACAGTGAGGACAGTGAGAGCCCAGGGGCTGGCCCACTGGGTGGTGGGCACAGGGGACAGCATGCCACCAAGGGGTGTGCAGGGACTGCCCTTGCCTGGGGACAGTGGCAATTTCTGGTGGACATATCCCAAGCCAGGCATCTGCTGGAGCCTGGCATTGAGTGGCAGGCCAGGGGCGGCGTCAGACGGGGAAGAAGGGCCTCCCTGTGACCTGGGCCTTTAGAGGACTTTCGGGCTTCAGATATGCTGTCTGGGGGTGGCATAAGGAGCCACGCTGCCAGAATGGGAGGCACAGAGGGCTGGGTTGGCACTAATGCTTTGTGCCCCCTGGGAAAGGACTGGCAGGGTGCTGCAGCTGGACCACCCATACACAGACAGTCATGTAGGCTCTGCAGTACATGGGGCACAGAGCACCCACAGCCTCAGAGGCTCTGCCGGAAGGCCTTGGTGGCCCAGGTCAGGCACTGTGGCTGCAGCACGTGCACCAGGCCACCCTTCAGGATGGAGCAGGGCCTCTGCTCCTGCCGCATGGAGGTTTCCAGATTCCTGTGTGGACAGCATACGTGTGACTCTACTTCCCCCCCACACAATATGCACACAGCCCAGGGGGGCTGCAGGAGGTTCTACCTGTCACTGCCTGTGGCACAGAAGTGGACAGGGAGATGGACTGGGGCTGTAGAGACTCAGACTTAGGGATGCTGCACACTCTGGGGCCCAAGCCCCTTGCACCCCATTCCTGAACCCACCCCAGCACAGATTCTTCCCTCCTTCTTCACCATCCCATCAGTAACTATACCTCTGCTGCCTGCATGCCCTGATGGGAGCTGGCATCCCACCTGGGGCAGAGCCTGGCCTGCCTGGGGTCTGTCCCAGCCCCTCACTCCCAGGGAGAACTGTGGGCCCCATTGGTCTCTGAGGCTAAGGGTGGGCCCTCTGGCTGGGCTGAGAAGTGGACACGGGCAGTGGGAACAGGTGGGCACAGGTGAAGGAGGAGTCAGGAGGGGCGGCGGTGGAGGAGATGTGAGAGGGTTAGTGGGATGAAGGGGGGTTGGAGGAATGTGGGGGCTTGTCCCCAGTGTGGGCCAAGGGATCCTGCAGTGGGATCCCCTGCAGGAGTCTCCTCAGTGCGGGCTGCTGGGTCCCAGGCAACCAGAACAGGCCTTCTGAACAGCTGAGGCAGCCCAGGGGTCCACAGGAAAGGAAAATACTGCTGCAGGCTCTGGAGTGACTCCGAGCTGAGAGACAGAGATGCCGCAGCCAAGAGAAGTTTTGAACAAGTCTGTGGACACTGGTGGGGGTCCGGCCAGCTCTGCAGGAGCAGGAGAGGAAGCCTGCCAGGTCTGGGAATCTACTCGAGTCTGGGGTCTGCAAGGGAGGCAGCCCCTCCTGGGTCTGGGGTCTGTGGAAGAGGCAGCCCCACCGGGTGTGGTGTCCACTGCCCCTGTGATTACAGAATGACACAATCCCAGGTGGCAAGCCACTGCGGTGGCTGCCAGCTGTGGATGCCACAGGCCTGTTACTTGCAGACAGGTATGTAGTAGTGGCGTCCTTCCAAAATGGCCTGGGAACACCCATGTGCACTCAGTTGCTCAAGTGGACAGGCACCATCCAGTTTGCTTCAGTGGCTGTCCCAGCAGCAGGGCGTGTGGAGAGCAGGTGCCGCTCCGTGCAGGCTGGCTGTGGTTGGGTGAGCCCCCCAGGACCCTGCACCAAACCCACTGGAGGTACCAGGGTGCCTTGGCGGAAAATGAACCAGGATGTGTCACGCTGGCACTGGGCCAGGCAGCAGGAGGGTGCAGGGGAGGGGTAGGGCCTGGCCTTGGCATTTGGGGCCTCAGAGGCTTCCATGGCAGGGGAGGCTGGCTGAGCAGCAAGTGTCCGGCAGGCATGGAGGCAGGCAAGGAGTCCAAGGAGCGCGCCCGTTCCCTGCCCTGCACAGGCCCCTTGGACCGACAGGCTGCAGAGGGAAGGTGGCTTCTGGGC